ATGTAAGTTGCACATTGAAGTCCACTACCTGAATAGCTGTCTTTATGACCATATAAAATATGCAAAGATTCTGCTTTCCAGCCTTAAGAGAGGATTATTTGCAGATATTATTGTTAGTACAAGGCTAGAGGCCACACCTACCCAAACAGCAAGTACTATTGATGTACTATGAAATTTCAGCTCCACTTTATTTATTTGCGCTGATGATATGTCCAACCTCTTACTGCCAGGGTACAACATCTGAGAACCTTGGTGGCTTTAACTGACCCAGAGGATGGAATACTGTTTCAGACTCCAGATGGTGAGTGGCTAGTAGATTTATCCATGCCTGTTTACCGTCACCATAAAAGAATTTTCTTCCTGTACAATTCTTCCCTTTTAGGGAATTGGTCACTGGAGACTAAGGAAAATGCTATTAAGGGCCACTGAATGAGCCTAGCACATGAATGGGTTGATGGGGGTGGGGATGTCAGACTCGAGAGATAGAGCATGATAAATATATGATAAAACTCTGGTGTTTGACATGCACACAAAGGTACCATAGAAAATTCAATGAATCTGGAGCATCTAGTCCCTTTGTCATTTTTGTAAGGCATTTTAGGAACATGTAAGAACAAAATATTGTTCTTGCTATATTCTAGAGTTGGATAGAAGTCTGACAGTACCACATCAATGCAGATAGTAAATAAAAAGAAACTACTGAGTTACAAACCCAGTAGAAGGAATTCACTTTTTACAAAAGGAGAAAATGCCACTGTCCTACTAAATAAGGTTTTAGTTTTCAAATGAGAAGCAAAATCTTGCGCAACTATTCAGGGGCAGCGAAAATTTAGTACTACCAGACTCAAAATTGTATGTCACAGATTTTGTTAATTTGTAAGTATTAGCCTAGAAGAGATCACATTTCTCTGTCTTATGCAAGTGTTTCTTCCTTGCCTCATTTAAGACAGCTGATCTTTAGTGCCAGAAGACACTTTTGGCAGGAAGCTACTGATGGATCATCTAATTTTTGCAAAATTATCAGTTAAAACTAGCGTTATATTCTGTAAATCTATGTTCTGGCCTACTATATGGAAAATTGCTCAACTGGCAATTTCTGAAAGTATATTATTACCTGTGCTATGTGGATGAGGATACGCTGGTAGATTTAGTTAAACAATGAATGAATGACAGAAATGGTTGTTTGTCTGTGTAGCGTGCCATAAACGTAAAAGTGTTTTGACCTATTCAGGACTACAGGACTACAGAATTTATTTTAGAGAATTTACTAATTGGCAGTGCTTAACACGTTACAGTGTGGCTGGTTTATAAAAAACCAAAAGCAACTCCAGAACTGTTTATCTGAGACAGTAGCTGAGATGGGCTTCTCCTGCTAATCCTTTTCTTCCTCCACCCCTTCTTTTGTATTGGGTTTTTGTTTTTAGAGTTCTTGAAGTACATGAAGGGCAGGTGTCATGGTATGGTTTCCTTTTCACAGTTGAACTTCACTGGGTTTTTTCTGTTTTTGTTTCATTTTTGTTCCAGGCTTTAAACTCCCCGGGCAGCTGGAAAACTTAATTGGCTGCAGCAAGGTCTAAGCCAAATTAGTATAAGCAAGCAACTGCCCAAATATGGGTGATGAAGGTGCAGGTGAACCCTTCATGGGTATAGTGGCTGGCGGGGCCACCGATTACGAGGGTGTCCTTCCTTCAGACACAATTTCTCTGAGTGATTCAGATTCAGATGACTTTGGGTTTCCTGGCGATGCTGAAGTTGATACTGTATCTCCTGAGGAATCCCTTCCTTCAGATGATGTGGGTAGTAGATCAGATGAAAGCGGTGACCCTTTACACAGCAACCAAAAATCACCTGTGCAGCCGTTTCACCTGAAAGGCATGAGTTCAAGCTTTTCCCAGCGCAGCCAGAGCATTTTTGACTGTCTGGAAGGGGCAGCCAAACGAGCAGTGCCCTCAATGGCTGAAGATAATGTGATTGATGGAAGATTTAAGCGGCCTCTGCCTCCACCCAACATTTCAAGCAAGATTGCTGCAGAAAGCATTGGAAGACACAGCAAGCCACCACCAGCTCCTAAAAGTTCTCCAGCAGTTCCTGATTATGTTGCACACCCAGAACGCTGGACCAAGTACAGCCTGGATGATGTTTCAGAGTCCAGTGATAAGACCAACAGATCAATTGCCATGGAGTTCCTGGAGGGCATGAAGAAGACTAGAGGGGAAGAGAGGTCAGCCTCTCCTGAAAGCTACACCCCATCCTTCAATCAGGATCCCTCCAGTTCTGGTGCTGGAAGGATTGTCTTTACGAAACCCACAAAAGCAGGCTCAGATAGGAAAAGAGCTGCCGCCAAGGAGGATGAAGAAGACAAGCTTAGTGATGCAAACAAAGAACCCAAAGAGAACCCTCCAAAGAAGCCTAAGACCCAGAACAAGGAGGAGGGTGTACTAGACCCTTTAGATATAAAGGAAGCAGAGGATTGGAAACAACCAAAACTGGAGGAGTTAAGTGTTCAAAGAGGATCTGGTGTAGATTCTTCTCAGGCAGATGAAGAGACAGTGGTGGGGACCATGGGATTCCATGGTAGCAAGAAAAGGAATAGGAAGCATTTCCGACCCAAAGCCAGCAATGATGAAGAGGAGGAAGAGTCCTAAAGCTGGATAAATTATAGTGTTTTTAAAGAAGTGTTTCCCTAAAATTATTTTCTTCATTGTTTGCATGAGTTTTGGCTACTTGCTTGCTTTGTTTAGCATACTTGGAGCTGTGACTTAGATATATTTTAGCGTTCCATTTACTGATTCCATGATGTCCCTCTGTGTTGAAGTATCAAAACTAGACAAAATTTTAGTTTGCAGTGGTGCAGAAATGTCTACAAATACTCTGCCTGTAAAGGACCATCTGGTTGTTGTTGTTTTTCACTTTTGGAACAAATCTTACAACTGCATACCTGCATACTCCTCCAGATTTTGTTGAGCTACTGTTTTGCTTAGCACTTTGTGTAAAATCTTTTGACTAGTATCCCATCTCTGAGTACTGGCAAAACATGCCATGTGAATGAAGCCCAAGATGCATCCAAATATACTTGCTTGATCAAACAAAGCCCATACCTCTCCACACTGCCAGTGAAAATAAAAGCACAGTAAGTAACAAGCCATATGCTGTAGAAGCACTGAAAATGGGAAGTGTCTACATGCTGTAAAATGCAGCATGGATGTTCCCTTGTTTCTATATAGCATGGTGCTTGATAGCAACAAATTAGGATCATGGAAGCAAAGCTTGCAGGGAACATGCACACATTTTTTAAAAGCTAGAAAAGACAGAGCCAACGGCCAGAATAAGACTTCATTGGATTATGAAATATGAAGAATGATCTCAGCACTGAATATCCACTACTTCCGTCCTTTGCGACTGTGATGTTTCCATCTGCATATCCAAGAGCTGCTCCCTAAAGTAAAGTGAATTCATAACAAATTAACTGGATTTGTTTGGGAATTAAAGGACTTAAAACGGACTCTTTAACAGACCTACTATGTGATCCTTTTCATATTATCCTTGGTGTCAATAAAAATTTTAATTGCTGCTTTTTTGTCCAAAGGTATGTGTGTTAGCAACTGGTGATGCTTGTCAAAACTTGACAGGTATATTTCCCCCACCCAACCCTACCTTCTCCCTCCAGCAACAGCTCTCTTCCACTCTGTTATCTCTGTCCATTCAACCACAAGCTGCTTCAACCTATTACGAGCTGTAGCAGCAGTTATTAATCTGTTCTTTGGTGGTTGTAGTGGAATCAAATTGGTTAGGCTCACCTTGGGATGCTGTGACTGAAAAAGAGCTCTTCCTATCTCATTGTTTTGGGCCCCTGACAAATTTGCCTGACCCTTGACTGCTGGTTCATACACAGGAGTATCTGATAAGGAGGAGAAAGGTAGCCACTTAAATTGCACAAAACCACATTAAGGCTATCACACAATCACTTAATGAAAATATGTTTGTTTTTAAAAATCACATATATAATGGTTTGCACCTGAACTCTAGCCACTCGGAGAGCCAGTGTCTGGAATGGGGATTAGAATGTTGGGAGAGCTGGGTTCAAATGCGCACCAAACCCAAGCAGTCCTATTGGGTGACCTTTAACCAGGCATGCAGCCTAACCTACTTCAGAGGGTTATGAGGATAAAAAGGAGTCTCTCATGCTCTGGTAAGGGCAGGATCACAGGTATGCAGCTGCCTCACTGTGCAAAGCTGCATCTACTCCAGCTGGCTAATTAGGTCCACAGACTTAAGGCTCCTCACTACTGGTCTAGGGGGCATTTTCTTCCAGCATATTTTATTTATTTTTATTTCATCAAATTTATACACCACTTGATTGTTTAAAAAACCTCAAAGCAGTTTACAAAATAAAGCAATAAAATTATCACTATGAAAAATTAACAGTAATTTAAAACATTTGAAGAGTTAAAATAACAATAGACCAAAAAAATAAGACTCACATCAACTTTTTTAGCATCTGGATAAGATGATAAATTAAAAGTAGTTGGCAAGTTAATAGTATTTATAAGCTGAATCTTCCCAACTTTAGAAATGTAATGTGGCAACCATAAGCCAGCCAAGTAATATCTTAGAGTGCAGCGATGCTGAGATTTCAATATGTCTCTTAGGAAAGGAGCTTCAGAACTTTTATTATTTCAGTCTGCAAGATGGGAGCAATCTGCATAAATGTGTCTTGCCTGCATTTTATTTTTCTCCCTTATGAGCTACTCAAGTGGCTTTGCAGAGCAAGCTAACTGCAATCATGAAGCATTGTCATTTCCAGCATTACCTTACACTTTGGTGCTTAATTTATGACACATCTGCATGCTTTAACATTTTACACATCTGTGTTTTTGAAAAAGCACCAGATCTCATTTTGCTGGATCTCTTGGTCAGCACTTCAGGGGAGTAACAGTTAGCTTCCACCTAGCGCCACCCCCCACCCCCACTTCGGTGTGTCCACACCCACCCACCCATCTTATTCTAGTGGCAACTTCCAATGACCTCAGAAATGTTTGGGAAATGTAGAATTCTGAAAAAAGTTGGTCTGCTTCAATGCTGACTAGGTGCTTGTGTCCTACTTACATCAATTAACCTGCAGCTGCAACTCAAAACAAGTAGCTGTATTCCATGGAGGGAGACATTTTGTCATCTAACAATATGGCATTGAGCATATGCATGTGACATTTCCAGAATTATATCCTGGACATGTTTTTGGAATAGTCCTTCACATGGAAAGATGTACCCTTTTAGCTGAACATTAATTTTTCTAAACTGTCACAACGGCTAAACTCTGGATTTCTTTATCTGATGGTCCAGCGAGAAGTAGCTTCTGAGGTCCTATTTATTTACTATTAAGAAGTCTATGCTCTTTTTCAGAACCATCAGATGTAGGTCACCTTTTGGGGGTGAAAGACAAATTGCTTTCACCCCCAAAAGGTGAGTTAAGGTCCATTTTCTGCATTGTTCACCAGGCGTGGGAATGAGATACGGTCATTCCCCCCCCCCCCCTTTAGCAGGCATAATAGCTGCATCACTATCAGAAATAACAGCAAATGAAGCACTTTCTGATTATTGCATCTCTATGCTGGGAAGACGTACCTGCTTGCAAGCAAATGCTAAAGGTAAAATAACAATGCCAGATTATTGTGCCAACCTTGCCTGCCCTTGTGACTGCAGTAGGGTTTAAGAGAGCTTGTTCAGTAATAGTGTTTTACTACTGCCAGTAGTAAAAGACTGTTGTTGCAGGTGGTAGAACCTTGCTGGGTTCTTCTAAGCAGCTCTCTGTTTTGCAGGCAAACCTGATGATCCATTTTTTTAATGGCAGTTGTGCTATGTGGAAGCTTAAAGCTGCGGCTTTACAACCAAAGTGCTTTTTTCCTCAATAGTACAGAGATCTGTCAAAGTAGCATATTGGTTTATTTGCAAATTAATACTCTGCATCATAATTGGATTTTTTAACTAGTTTCCTTCAAGAAGGAAAAAGTATGTGCAGAATGTATTTTGTACATATGCTGATTACTGTTGCTAAGAAGGTTTGGAATGGTCTGGCATGAGTGGTTTATTTGCATGGCATAAATTAGAACAGCAGCACAAGTTTAAATATCGGACAGCTGAGAAGGTGATAGATTATTGGAAGCAATCAGTCAGCATTTATAAGGCTAATAAATTGGATGCAATGCTTCTCCATGGGCTTTTTATATGTTTGGTACGGAAGACAGAGTAGTACTCGGCCATCAAAAGAAAAACCCCTTTAGGTAATTGAAGACCATGATGAATATGTCAAAAAGTCAATCAAAAACACAGCAAAATGTTTGATCTTCTGCAAGTAGCGTTAGTTATCGATGTACATCATGTCATCTTCAAACTGATGGGTGCCTTCTCCAGCTTCATTGCCTTCTGGTGCAGGCGTTTGATTTGTGCCTGTGGTTATGAAACCTGTGGAGGTTTTTGGAGTAAAAACACTGGTTAATATGAGCAGGTATGAGAGTTGTTTTAGGCCAGACAGTTTTACTGAATATCTGCAGAGCTATTTCCTTATAATCCCTTTCATCCATGATATCTGGGTTTTCTTTTAAAGGAAGGGGGGAAATCATTGAGAGGGGTTTCTTACATTTTGTGCCTATTAGAACTCCACCACCAAACATCCATATACTACTGTATGTCTTATTTGTTTCAGTTGGGCAGATTGATTAGGCTGTAGCAGCAAGAAGAGGATAAAATATTGCAGCACCTTAAAGGCTCATCAGATTTATTGTAGCATAGGTTTTCATGGAATAGAGCCTACTGCATCAGATGCATGAAAGGATTGTCCTAGTTTTGCACACAGACCAAGATGGGGGAAAGTTTGGGGAGAAACAATAATGAAATGCAGAGGTGGAGTAAGGCCTGACATTTTTCTTGTAGTTGCAGGTAGGTAGCAGTGTTGGTCTGCTGTAGCAGAAACAAAAAATAAAATAAAATAAAATCCTTCCGGTAGCACCTTAGAGACCAACTAAGTTTGTTATTGGTATGAGCTTTCGTGTGCATGCACACTTCTTCAGATACACTGAAACAGAAGTCACCAGACCCTTATATATAGTGAGAGGGTGGGGAGGGGTATTACTCAGAAGGGTGGTGGGAATGGGTGATTGGCTGATAGGTGTGGTAAACCTGTTGACAACTGTTCACGACTGCAATTGGTCTTACAGAAAAAAGAAATGGGTGAGATGGCTAAAAATAGCTTTATCATGTATAATTAAATCCAATGTCTCTATTCAGACCAGGTCTCTCCATGGTTTTAAGTTCGGTAATAAGTTGCAATTCAGCCACTTCTCTTTCCAGTCTATGCTAAGTTAACACCTGTAGTTATTTTATGAAGCAAAGGTTTCTTTCCGGTTGATGGTGTTAAAATAAGCATAACTAGGAAGATAGCATCTTTGGTTACTGCTGCTGTGAACGGGTCACTTGCATAAATGCAAGCTTTGCACAGAAATGTCACAGACTTTCCTGGACTCTTGTGTTTCCTGGCCTTTGGCTTCACTGTCTAGAATTATTCTTCCTCTGCAGTGACTGGTGTGCCAAGTAATGATAAGACCAACAAAGTATTTTCTTTTCAGCAGCCTAACATGGCTTCCCCTCTGGAATTTGTCACTATGGAAGGCACTGGATTTAGTAGAAATCCATTAATCTCACAAAGATTCACATTAATCTCATGAAGAGACAGAACAGACATTTTTCTATCCAAGGGCAAACAGCAGGACATTACACCATCACATCTGATGAAATAGGCTTTCGTCCACAAAAGCCATTTGTTGTCTCGGATCTAGAGGGCCTATGTGGGAGTGGGAACTCCAGTGCATACAGGACTTCCTTCAAATGACAGTGAGTGAGGAAAGCACCACATATGGATGCGGGTGGCACTGTGGTCTAAACCACTGAGCCTCTTGGGCTTGTCAATCAGAAGGTCGGTGTTTGAATCCCCGCAATGGGGCGAGCTCCCATTGGGCTGTCCCAGCTCCTTGAGAGCCAGTGTGGTGTAGTGGTTAAGAGCGGTAGACTCCTAATCTGGGGAACCGGGTTCGCGTCTCCGCTCCTCCACATGCAGCTGCTGGGTGACCTTGGGCTAGTCACACTTCTCTGAAGTCTCTCAGCCCCACTCACCTCACAGAGTGTTTGTTGTGGGGGAGGAAGGGAAAGGAGAATGTTAGCCGCTTTGAGACTCCTTAAAAGGGAGTGAAAGGCGGGATATCAAATCCAAACTCCTCCTCCTCCTCCTCCTGCCAACAAGCAGTTCGAAAGCATGCCAGTGTAAGTAGATAAATAGGTACCACTGCAGCAGGAAGGTAAACACCGTTTCCGTGCACTCTGGCTTCCGTCACAGTGTTCTGGTGCGCCAGAAACGGTTTAGTCATGCTGGCCACATGACCCGGAAAGCTGTGGACAAATACCGGCTCCCTTGGCCTGAAAGCAAGATGAGCTCCCCAACCCCATTTGACTGGACTTACAGGGGTCCTTTACCTTTTGCGGATTTAAGGTGACCAGGTGAAAAAGAGGGAAAGCACATTTAAGAGCTGTGCAGCAGAAGGAATTTCATCAGGTGTCCACTTGTTTTGCAACCAACACCTGCTGATTTGACACAACTCTCAAAGGCACAGGGTGGCTGTCCTCCCTTTCGTCCGGCTGCTGTATATGCATAGAAGTCCCTGGATTACAGGAATCTCAGCTATCCATTTCCTAGGTGGGAAAACGCTACTTACACAGTGAACGGAAGGCTATTTTTTTGTTGCTGCTGTTTTGACTACTTATTTGTGCTCTTATCTCATGTTCTTATCTTGTGAACCGCCCCAAGATCTTTTGATGAAGGGCAGTATAGAAATCAAAAAGCCCTGAAGCATGCACTGGAGTGGGTGGGTGTGCTCATGCCTAGTCTCCGTTAGATACAATGACCTAATGCATAAGAAAGGGCTTCCCTGTTAGCTTTGGAACCAGCGTATGCTTGCATCCCTCAATGCATGTGGAGAGCAGCTGTCAACTTAATGGAGTCCACAAAGCTGAGGGAGCTGAAAAGCAAACTGTATGCTTCTTCACAACTGAGCATTTTGATCTGTACTGCTCAAACTGATTCCAGGGTGTAAAGTTCCAGTGGAAATATTAAGCATCATGACAGATTCAAGCATGAATCACACACACACACACACACACATACATCCCCAGTCTGGAACTTGGAAAGCACATGATGCAGCAACCTTGCTGAAAGTCTGGGTTTGGTTAGTGCCTGGGCAGGAGACTGCCAAGGAACCCCATGCTCACCACCTTGAGTTCAGTGGAAGAAATAGTACTTTAAGTAATCTCTGTAATTTTTAACAACAAACACTTTTTGATAAATTGTGTGGACTGTTTAGGGAAGCTTTTAATGTTTAATAGATTATTGTATTTTAATATTCTGAGGAATCCCAGCCAGATGGGCAGGGTATAAATATTATATTATTATTATTATTATTATTATTATTATTATTATTATTATTATTATTATTTTTCTCTTTAAAAATTGTTTTACTTTTGTTTATTTATTTTCAGAATTATTCTCTGCGCCTTACTCACGTGTGTAATTCATAGGTTGTTTGTTCAAAAAGAAGCTGTTGTTGCTTAAGGTGTCTGCCATTGAGGAAAGGGTAACTGTGCAGTAGGAGATCTACAAAAGAAATGGTTTTGGTATCACCACATCTTCCATTACCATTCAAAATGACACATTGGCGTTGCAGTCCTAAAGAGATCTGGCAGATTTGCTTGCGATTTGAATACATTTTTAAAGCACAAATTAATCAGCTAAAGCATAGCTTCACAGTTGCATCTTTAGCTCTGTTGCTGCTGGTGAAGACCTTGTCTCTAATCTACATTCAGCCAATGACTTATGGACCTTGGTCTTAGGTGCCATTTGAATGAATAATATTGAAGGCAACTTGCTGTATCTGCACTTCTAGTTTAGTAGGGATGTGAAGGGCGAGGGAAATCCTTGCTAAGGTTCAGAGTCCAAACTTTAGACCATAGATTGAAAATGAAGGCAGAGATAAAACTGGACTGGAAAGTTTCCTCACTAAAGTGGGAAAATGAAGAACTCTTGACTGTCTGATGGACAAAAATACCAGTTTGAATGGCAGGGTGCCTGATCTCTACATTATCTGTCAAGATCAGTAAATTTAATCATTATAATTTATGTCATTTAAAGATAGGTTAACAAATTCATATTACCATATATGAGGAATTTCTTGACCAGATATTAGTTAATCAACACATCAATTCTATTTTGTCCAAAGAAGCTGAGACATATTATCCTGTCTATACAATGCTTTGTAAGCAGATTTTGGAAAGAATTGTGCAATTAAATCCATGCTAAAAAATTCTATAGCTATACCCTGCATGAACAAAAGCATAGCTGAAACACAAGAAAAAGCATTCTTACTTGTGATTCCAAAGATCTAAGCCGTTTCTCTTGGTCTTTCAGACCATTAAAGTACTTTGAAAGATTGTTCACCCTGTTTTGAGGGGGGGGGTGAAAATCAAAACGGTGAGCAAAGAGGTAGGCACTAGAGGAGTTTAGATAGACATTTTATTGGATCAAACATGGATTAGACTCCAGTACATGACTGGGACAGTGGCCATTGGGTCTGTTGCAAAAGATTCAGTCCAGTGAAAGTAAGTTGGGAGTAAAGTCCTTCTTTAATGTAACAGTTAAATTGTGTAAATAGAAAGGGCAGTGGGATTGAATCTACCTTCCTTCCCCCCCGGCCCCAAACTGGCTCACACCTGACTATTTTTCTACCTGCAATTCTTGCTCCCCATTTCTTGAGCAAGTGTGCAAATTGTGGTCGTTGATGTAGGTCCCACACATATACAGGAGTTCATACAGCTGAAATTTCCATGCAAGCCTTGCTAAGTTGCAACTCTGTGGGCTTTCATCTGCTCCCATCAGTGATTCTGTGGCAGAATACATCCTCTCTGCTTTACAGCAAATGGCATGAATGCATGCTTTGTTCCTCTAGTTCCCATGCAAAATCTGTTTTCTAAGTAATTGTGCCCTGAGTAATTTGGAATGCTTTGGTTACCCACTTAACATAGGGAAGGAACTGCTTATCTTCTGTCTCAGAACCAAACTAGGCACTCACATGGTGACTAAATATGCATGGACTGGTTTATAAAGCAGGAATGGTTTTGTTTGTTTGTTTTTAATTTAAATGGAGTGGGGTGGACTTCTAGGGCTGGAGTCAATCTCGGGAGAACATTTTCAGACAGTGTAGCTCAGGGAGACAAGAGTGAGTGGCTTTCACTTCCTCTAGAGATGGATGAATTTGTCAATATTGGGTTCTCTCAGTTTCTCATAATTCAATTCTAAATTTAAGCCCTTGTAAAAATTAATCAGCATTTTAATGCAGATTTCTCTTAATATACACTTTTTTCTGCAATGCAATTCCCCCCAATATAATGCTTTTTTGTATGTTCATTTGCAAGAATATCTGCATTTTAGGCACTTTGCCCTAGTATGCGCATCTTTCTACACATTACTTGGCTGGAGAATTTCATTGCAAAATTTGGAGAAGTGCAGGTGTTGAAGCGTGATTCTGTTTCAGTTCATGCACTGTTATGGAAAATGAGTATTAGATAGGTTTGCCTTTAACCTGAACTGAATCATTTTTTCTCTCCCTTCCCTAAGTTCCTCTTTCCATGCATTGATAGAAAGTAAACTCCACCCATCCAGCTTTATAACCAAATCAGTGTTCACATGTTTAATAAACACAGACACAAAAGTCTGGTTTGGCCCTCAGTTAGCATCAAAACAGAGATTTGGAAGTCTCCATCCATAGATACGCACTTGTCTGACATTTTCTTTAGCCGTTCTTCACTGCTTTCTTTCTTCTTTGTTTCCAGATTTGCCAGGTAGTTTTCTTTTTGTAGCATCTCCCACATTATGATTTTTTGATCCAGAGCTCCTGGCAGATCTCTTTCTATAGTAAAAGAAACAAAACAGCACAATGTGATTAAGTATGAGGGTTGGGGAACGCCAACCTGTGTGATAGCAGAAAGGAAGTTCAGAGCCTAGTGAGTCAGATTTTCCATGCAAAAAAAAAATTATTGCTGTTCATATATACTTAGTTCAAGGCGATGAGCTAGAAAATCTTGAATATGTCAGAAAGGTTTGTGTTCACTCCTAGAGCTCCTTCACATGCACACTTGATATAACTGGAGCTGTGAGAGGTAATAGCTCCAATTATCTACAGTATTAGAATGGATCCATGAGACCACTGCAAATAAAAGCATGCCCATTCCCCCTTTCTTTAATACTCAAAATCAAACTTCTGGAATGCTAAAAAAATATTAAATTATTAAAGACAGAGCTGTAGTTTCTAACGCTGAGTGCTATCTTCTTCAGTAATCTGTATCCTTTAAAAAATATTAGTAACTCATCATTAATTATTTAGAAAGAACATTTAATTGCTATTGCACAAAATTGATTTTTTTTGAAAGCAGCTTTAGTCAGAAGTGAGCAGAACTATTGTATCAGTCCACATTGCTTAAAAGGTAATGTTTTTTAATGGAGGCAGTGCACATACTCGTTTGAGAATCATCCTGCATGTGTGGACCCTCGGATTGTGCTGAACATCTTGCCATTACCTCTCTACAGCTTACCCAGGTGCTCTTTTTTGTGCTCTGTCTTTTTAAAGATCCGTCTAAGAAACAGCTTAATGTGGTCAATAATGATGAAGGGAGGGGCAAACGCAGGCCGGCCGTGGTATTCCACAATCAAGTTGTAACGCTGAAATTTCCAGAAGATGTCTGCATTTCCCTGAACAACCTGAAAGGTGTAACTTGAACAGGGAGGGGGGAGAATCACATCAATAAAAATCTCATGTTTATTTCTTTAAGCCATCTACATACCGCTTAATCACCAAAGTTTCTAACGATGCACATCGTGACAAAAATATATGGTAGGATAAAATCAAGCAAAATGAGTCCAAGACAGAAAACTTTCCCCATGATACCCCGCTGATGCTGGAATAGAAAGGTTTTTGGCAAGAATGTGAAGCTCAGCAAGGAGGTGCCTGGTCTAATCTCAGCCAGGAAGGGGTTCCACAGAATTGCTTCCAAAATACAGAATGCACAGCTTCTGGTGTATATAAGCAGTCCATCTGAGCCATGGTGGAACATTAACAGAGACTCTTCCAAAGATCCCAGTAATTGGGCAGGGATATAAGGAGGAGTCTGAAGCAACAAAGAACTATCTCCCAATGTTGCATGAACCAGCTCTTAAAAATAATAATAATTCCACAACCATTATTTAGGGGCTTTTAAAGTAGCGTCTTTCCAAATGTGTTGCGTACCTACATTTACAGTTGGAAACAACTCATTTAAAGCACCTGTAGATTACGTTAGCCTGTATTTAATGCTTTTGTTTTTGGTTGGCTGTCACTCAGCTTTACAATAGGCAAGACTTTGACTTTTATTCCACCATGTACACACATGGGGAGGTACAAAATGTGTGCAGTCTTATTAAGATTATAAAATGTGCCAATTTAAAATATTTAAGGTTTGGGTTGGATCCAGACTTGCCTTTTCCTATATGGAAGGTTTTCTTCCCTTTGTGGGAGGGGCCAAGAAGCTGTGGGGCCGCCCTGCTGGGTTTCCCCACTCCAGCCCTCAGAGCCACCTGCCAGAGCAGGGTTTCAGGGAGGGGAAATGATGGACCATAGAAGAAATGTGGAATTGGTGAAAATGTCCTCCTTCCGCAGGAAAGTCCCCTTCAGGAAAGTTCCATAGGTGTTCTACCCATAGGTTGCCTGAACCCATTGTCTTCAGATGTATTAAAATCTTTACAGAGTAATAGTGTTGATGTTTATCCATACTGGGCCCTGATGTATTAGACCCTTTATATGCACGTAGCGAAAGAGAAAGCTTCCCCTCTCCCACCTGTTCTAAATAATTTGTGTATATTTAATTGAATTCTGCAGTAGAAATGAAGATATTGCTTTCTTTGTCATGTTCTGGCTATAGTTGGAAAAAGCAATTACGTTTTCCAGCCCATTCTGAAGTAAATCAGCTGAAACCCATTTTAAATGGCTTGTGAATCACACTGACTGTATTAACAACTCTCCTGCTGAGAAAGTTGGGCGCCTCTAAGTTCCAATGAAATCAATGGCAATTAAGCACATCATTTAATATGCCAATGGGGCTCTGGTGTTTTTCTGGATTGCACTCGTTATGTGCAAAATGAAGACAGTCATCAATGACTGCCCATGTCTATGCTGTTATTGTTCGTACATTTAACCAGCAATTGTTGTATGCGCTTCCCTCTTTTTATAACAGGCAGGGAAAAAATACTTGCCTGAACATGGCAATCAAGAGATTCATAAGCAGTACATTTGTAACCAGCAGGAAAATGACTAAGAGGACTATGACAAGCCAGTTGGCATAGGCATTTGGGCACGACGATGCATTATCTGTCAGGTTTGCCATTGGGCTCGGTGTGCAATTTTCAAAGTTCATGCGAGATGCTGTAATAGATTGAAAACAAAGCAATTGTCACTTTGGGAAGCTACTGATTGTTAGACCTGTTAATTGCTGAGGCTGTTCTCTTTCTGCTGTGCAGATAAGCAAAAAAAAATTTTGTTTAGTTTTTTGCAATGTCACAGCTTCAGTACCATGAGGTGTGCTTGATTTTGCATTGTTGCATAATTAGAATAATGGATTACCTTAACAATTAGCAGAACAAGCATTACAAATATAGTTGACACACACACACACACACACACACATTCAGTGACAGAAATAACATATCATTTGCATTATATAAATGCAAATCTCTTATTATTTTTACTATTATTAATTATTCGTCCTTCACCCTAAAGTCCCAGGGTGGGTTACAACATTAAAATACAATATTAAAACAGTTTAAAGCAAAAGGAGAGGGGAGTTCACGACATGTGGCAGCATTAGGTTTGAGAACAAAATTTGTTTAAAATGGCCTGGCCTCCTTGGCCTTGAACATCAGTGTAATGTGCAGAAATCAGAAGGCGGAACTTTTCCGACTGGAGGTAAACATTTCCACCCGCCGATGTGCACTCATAAAGGCAAATCTACAGTACTGCTCAGCTTTAGTGGGAACACTATTATCATTAATACTTATTAAATCTTGCCCATGGGAACCCAAAGCATCTTACAAGCAAACAAACAAACAAAAACCCACATTAAAACCGAGGAAGAAAAGAAATATATTAAAAACATCCCACCCACTACTAAAAGGCCACAGGTAGTTAAAGGCCAAAGGTCTGGTTATAGAGAAAAGTTTTTGCCCGGTACCTAAAGATACATAATGATGGCACTAGGTGAGCCTCCCTGGGGAGAGCATTCCACAAATGAGGAGCCAGTACAGAAAAGGCCCATTCTTGTGTTGTCACCCTCCAGATTTATTGTGGAGGGGAGCACACAAAGAAGGGCCTCAGATGGTGATCTCGGGAACATTTGTGGAACAAGAGTACAGCAGTGCTTGGGGGCCATGCTAATTGTAGAAACGATGCCATGGTTGCTTTCTCTTGTCATCCAAGTCTAAAACAACAGCAACAATAGGTCTTTTAATTCCTTAACCTTACAATCTATTTCATCCAGCGGAATCTGTCCAAATATGTGAAGATAGGGGCGGTAGAGTACCCTTCTGAAGATCCATTCTGCTCGACTGTCATCAGGATGGAGCAAGGCTTGTGTGGTCACGCCATAGGCAATGAGCCATACACTCAGGAAAAAAAGGAAGAAGAAAACATCCTTCATCTGTAAAAGGAATACATAGTCTGAAACCAAGACATAGATTAGGAATGTACAAAGGAGATAATTAAGGGACTAAGATTGACTTCTTGACAGGACTTCTCATTTCTTTATGGAACCAAGGCCCAGGCCTCTAGGGAGGGCAATTTTGTGCTACATGTGTGCCATAATGATACAGTGAACTGTCAATTAAATGGTAGGAAGTCATACCAAACTGCTCCCAAGCAGTTGAGCAAGGTTTCTTTCTTGCTGTTTAATTCAGTCCATGTCATTAGAGTACTTTATTCCTATTACAGGCATGGGGAACCTCCCCCAGCAGGATTTCAGTGTGTCTTTGAGAATGTGCAGAGTGCCTTTCACGTTTCACTGTGTAATCACAAGTCCATGCACACACTCATGGTTGCTTGACCACTTACATTCCACTCAGGTAAAGACTACATGCCCTACATGCAGACTTCACTATACCCTCCAACATTTCTCCGATGAAAATAGTGCTACCCAGAAGGCCTGTGTTTGTTCCTTTGGTTTAGGAAATACTGTACATCATTGGTTTTCATGTCCATGTGAAATCTTGTACTTACCATTCTCTCCACAATGATGATCTTTGGGCCCAGTTGCTTATGGATGGCAAAAATATGAATCAGTCTGAGAGTAAACACCATAAAATCAATAGCAAGTACTGTGCGGCCATCTTGAAAGGTTGAATTAAACATTCTGGGGTTAAAAGAGAAAATATGAGTCGACTCCCTTAGATCTAATTCATTAACTTTGCTTATGGAACACTGTATATCATACATACATGGTACCACACACATGAAGCTCTCAAAACTACAAACCTGCAGGTAACTCCAACAATGAAGAAAAAGATGGCCACCATATCACACTTGTTCCAATTATCTTCTACGTACAACTTGATTTTTTTCATTAAATTCATATCTTCATCAGTGAAAAAACTCTGTAAGTTAACAGCATTTATCATTTAGTATAATGTTACACACTTCCATGTCCCATCATTAACTTAGCATTCCAAAAGTAATTTGAATTAGAAATGTCAACAAGAACGTTGTTGTGTTGAGTGAAATTACCTTTACTTCATGGCTCTATAGATCTTAATAGCTAACAATACATCTTTAATGGGCACTGATGGCTGGTGGGGACTTAGCTGTAGCACAAGCTGCTTGCTTGAGCAAATGGTAGAGGGAAACAATTTGACTGATAGAACGTGGCCAGTAAAGGAGGAAGAAGATTTTGGTCGTGCACAAATGTGTCTATTGCACATGTGAATTCCCAGCCTCAACCTGTAAGATCTAGCTGGGTAGCTGAGAGCCATAATGTAGGTTACCCACCTGTCGGATTTCTTCTAAGACCAACGTAAAAACCCAAAAGTAAAGTACAATCTCCTGGATGGATGGGCCCTTTGGTGGGGGTGGTTTAAAATCCACTAAGAGGACATAGGCAAACAGAAGGAGGAAGGCAAAGTACATGATAACATTCCCCATAAATACTGTGACAGGAGCAGTCCAGAATTTTTTCCATTGTGTAAACACAAATGTTGCACATGCTATATTTTCAGAAGCAATTTGGGTTTCTAACTGGGCGTCTCCCCTGAAAAAAAGAGAAAGAAAATACTGTTTTGTTTGCATTTCTGAGCAGTGGTCTGTAAAGCAATTTTATAGCTTGATTGTCAGATTCACAGGCTAAGGCAGCAGTCCTATGCTCAACTGCCTGGGAGTAAGCCCCATAGAATTCAATTGAACTTACTTCTGAATAGATATGTATACAATTGAACTGTGATTGTCATCAGTTTCCAGTTTCCTGTCCAAGGAGATCCTGAAAATTCTCTTTCCCCAGACTGTTCAATAAACATTAAGGGTGGTAGTCAACTGAGTTTTACTTAGAGTAGACCCTTTGAAATTAATGAGCATGCCTAAGGGCCATTAATTTCAGTGGGCCTACTTTCAGTAAAACTTAGCTGACTACCACCCTTAGTTACTAGAATGTAGCTATTGAGGCAACGTGCTGCTATTGTATTTTGTTATTTAAAGTTCTACAGCTCCAAACTCCAATAGAGGAAATTAATATGTAATGTTTATTTATTCTCTGTCTCATCAAAGCAAGAATAATATTCAATACAACTTTGGAAAGACAAGTTAATGAAATCCTGGCTTTGTTGAAATTAACTCTGCATCTCCCATTGACTCCACTGATAGACTAAACTATCCCCCCCCGCCCCCCCCGAGAGACTCATACAGAAACAACTTTATATTATTTCATGTGATCCATCTATCAAGTACACTACACAATGGCTCCACTTGCGTGGGAATAATCTGTCAACTAAATGATTACAAGTTGATTTTGCATATCTGTGGAAAGTAGTTTTCTATGATCTGCACTAAACTGCCCGTCAGTTATCATACTGCAAAGCATAACTATTCTTTATCTCTAGCATTTTTAACCCTGCTCCAGCTGATGATGATATCTGTAGCGTGGTTTGTAGTTCAGTAAAAAAGGAGACTCTGCACTCAGGCTTACAGGCTTGCAATCTGAGGCACCAGATCTTAAAGTTAGCCCAGCTAGGATGGATTTTTTAATTTTAAGATCCTTAAGGCAATTTCTCAGTCTTGGTTGAGGGCTGCAAGTGCACAGCTGCTGCTAGAGTATTGATAAATATCCTTATAATGTTCAAGATATTATAATGTTCTTATAGGGCCAAGTACTGTGCATGGTCATCCCATCCCTGTCTGCTCTCGCCCCCCCTCCCATTTTTAAAGTCATGTTCTCTGTACACACCAGAAAGGGGACAAGGATTTCTTCACTTGATGCACATTGCCAGATTTGTTTCCTCATACCAGCACCCACCGCCCCGCTTCAACTCCTATTCGATTAAGCTTTCATCTTAACATGGATGTCTCAAATGTACACACCTCAGCTTAACAGCGGCTTACATTTTCAAATCAGATGGAAAGGCTTGTGGCTACATGTGGTACAAGATACATGTCTTGTGTACATGGCTTCAGACACTAGCAGCAGGAATCAAAGGTAAGATGTGCACAGCCTTAACTTGTGGTTTTGCCTATCCACCTCTGTGTACCTCAGTTTAATCTCCAAGAAATGTTCTCTTTCGTTACTCTGTTTTGAAGCTTCCAAATAACATTACATTGCAATCTTACCTATCTACTTCCTTGGGGAAAAGCAATGTCCTTTCAGAATCCGGGCTGTCAAGGTCTTTGCATGATTCTGGCTCCTGGGCTGATTGTGTTTCCTCACTGCAAAGGAATTGATTTACTGAAAGATATTGGAAAGCAGTTTTTCACTCCTGAGGTGAGGGGAGACTTTCAGTGCTGAGCTAAGCTTGATACGTCAAGGTAAGGTAGCATAAACCACTTGTCCTTTGGTCATTGGGGAGGGGGCGGGGGAGAGCAGGGTCATGCGCACCATACCTGCTCCTGATCTCCACATGTTCAACTGAAGATCACTACAGAGGCTATATTAGGATCTCTCTCTAGGTGTTCCTTTGGTTCCCCTCCACATAAACTCAAAGAAGGATTTCTGTGATTTTCTGGCTCTCACTTATCATAGAGATGATTCTCCTCCACCCCGTAAGATGGAGTTTAAAGTGCTAAAAAGGGGCAGGGATTCTGTGGCTCTCCATATGTTGTTGGACTACAACTCCCATCATCCCTGCCCATTGGCCATGTTGCCTGGCACTAATCCGAGTCATGATCCATCAACATCTGGAGGGCTACAGTTTCCTCATCCCTGGGAGAAATGAATAAAATGCAATGTATTTCTCTAACATTTAGAAGTGACAGTTGACTACTTTGTATGAATTTCTGATTTGAATGCTGTAATATTTAGGAAGGTTGGCTTTCCAGTAAGACACAAAATTATCCTACTGGAAAGCCTGTCCCCTTAGTTTCATTTAAATACTTCTGATATAGTTAATAGATACTAACTAAACTGAATCTACTCAGAGGCAGAGACATGGGAGACCTTACACATAATCCAGTTAAAACTCCAGCCTAGTGTCATAAATGTGTCTTTCCTTCATTCGTTTTGGTTTAAGTGAGTTTGTGGATCAGACTGAAATAGGTTCTAGAATCTAGATATTTACAAAAGAGAAGGAGATGAGGCCAGGAGCTGATGGACATTGATAGATGAGAATGTACAAGCAATTGAGATAATGTCTGGTCTGGCACCTAGTACAGTGTTTCCCAACCTTTTTGGGCAAAGGCACACTTGTTTCATGAAAAAAATCTCGAGGCACACCACCATTACAGCCCCGTGACGTCAGCGCGCAGCGTCACGCCGGGAGGGACATGAATTGCTAGCAAATTACATAATCACCTCCTTGAGGGCTGGCTCATCTTCTCCGAAGGCAGAACCCCATTAATTAACAGCACAGACTCACACCATAGCCAAGACGAGGGGGAAAAACCTCAGTCATGCACAGTCATGCACATGTGGGGGCTAAATGAGGACGAAGACCGGGCAGAGAGCAGGGTTCAAATCACCCCACCTGGCCAGGACAATCCCTGGGTGCTCCCTTGGGCCACTCGCCTGACCCACCTCGCAGGGCTGTTGTTGCGAGGATAACACGGGGAGAACCACGCGCGCCCCTGGGAGCTCCTTGGAGGAGAAAGCGGACGATGAATGCAATGCACGAAATATATGAGAGGCGACCAGGTTTTGCAGGTGAGGGGCCCCCGCCAGCCTCCGCTTCCAACACCCGGCGCAACGACGCTGAAGTTTCCCCCCGGGCTCAGCTCGGGGAGCAGCGCTGCTCCCCCCCGGCTCCCCTTCGCCCTCCTGGCTCTCTCTGCCGCCCACTGGGGACCCCCCTCACCTGCCAAGTCCGGAGCGCCGGTGGAAGTTGCATGCATGCATGCAGGGCGCCGCGTTGCCATTGCATTGCACTGCACTCCATGCAACGCCTGCACGCATGCATTGCCTTGCACGCCCGCCAAGGGGTCTCCCTGCGGTCCGATGCGTCCCCTCCGGCGCGGATGCAGCATTGCAAAAATAAAAAAACCCCGACGCAGCCCTACCTGGGGGGCAGCCTCCGCCTCCGCCGCTCCGCCTCCGCGGGGATCCCCGGGCTCCATCCTGCCGCCCGATCTCCGGGGGCGCAGGCAGGCTGCGCGGGGTCTGCGCGGAAGAGCCCCTGCCCGCCCGGCCGCCGCCGCCGCGCTCATTCCATGGCCGGGAGAAGAGCGCTTCAAACAAAATGCCCGGCCCGCCAGGCCACGCTGGGGAACGTAGTTCGCGCACCCCACGCGGGCGTGGAGCCCAAGGGCGAGGGGACTACGGATCCCGGCAGCCCCCGCGCCGGGGACGGAGGGGAGAGGCCGGGTGCAGGGATGGAGGGACGGGTGGGCGAGCGAGTGAGTGAGTGGCAGCCGCCAAGCCTTGGCCGAGAGCCAGGAAGGGCCTCCCCGGAGGAGGAGGAGGAGGGAGGCGCAGAGCGGGAGGGAGGGAGGGAACCCCAGGGGTCATCTAGTGATGGCGCCCCAATCGAAAATTTGACTTTAAAAAAAAAAATCTTTCAATTTTTTAATTTTTCCCGCGGCACACCAGGCAACATCTCGCGGCACACTAGTGTGCCGCGGAACAGTGGTTGGGAAACACTGACCTAGTATGCTGTTAAGAGTGAAAAACAGACACTGATAGCCTAAGAATCTGCACAAAGTATCCATCATTCTTCCATTTGGGCAGAATAATCATACTTCTGAGATATGGGATTTGAAAACAGTTGCCACCTTTTTTCTCTATGGTAGAGACTGAAAAAGTAGCATGACATGCAGATATTAAACTGGTGCAACTTCCTACATGATCACATCTGCATTCAAGGAAGAGATTTAAAGGGTGCTTACAGTGTTTTCCACAGTGTCTACACTATGCTAGTCTACTTCTGCTCCCAATTTAATCCGGGTTTACTCTTTCTGTGGAAAACCCAATACTTCTTTTTAAAACTGCTGCCAATGAGCAGCTTGTGATACTGTTTGCAGTATTCAGGTCCTGTCTGGGAGAACCCTCACTAGCTGAACTTCTGCCTCTCATTCTGCTTTCAGATTAAAGAAGGAAATTTTTCTGTCACCACTATTTGTTGTCAAATACTACCTGTTTCCCACTCTTCTTCCCATGCAAAAGGTCCCCATGGTTCTTACCTGAATGATATCAAATTTGTATAGATCAGGAAAGGGCACCCAAATCCACAGATCAGCTTCAGGATTGGGGTGGATGTTGACATATCTCCCCACCAAATCTTTGTTAGAAAAGCCTGGAATTTAGGACAAAGGATGCAGCGTTGACACAATACAAGGAGTATACAAGTAAATACCACTACCCAGATATCGTTGGACTAAAACTCCAATCAACCCCTGCCAGCAAGGCAAGTGGCCAGGGGTCCAACAACATCTGAAGAGCTACAGGTTCCCCACCCCTTACTGAACATAATACCAGAAGAAAAACCAGAATTCCAATGACCCCCTTAAATTAGAAAATTTTCTTGGGCCACTCTTAACTTCTGGTTTCATTGACTCAGAGGAGGATATTCATCTCACTCTCTTGTTCCCAACTTTGAATCAGCATTGGTAACAACTTTTGAAGAGGACCACCCTTGGATTTTACTCACCTGCACCCCATCGTGAGCAAAGAAAGACTTGGTATCTGCTTCTGTAGCCAAGTGGAGACAAGTCGTTTTGCTCCAGTACCGGTTCCTCCTCACCAACAAAGCAAAAGCTCGGTCTTCACTATTGTGGTAGCATTCACTGAACAATTCTACCAAGGGTGGGGGGGAATAGGGGTGCAGGTGCAAGAAAAGAGAATGATAAATAGAGAAAGCTAGACATATTCATATGTGTGCGTTTTAAGTACTAGAGATTTTTATACAGAAAAAAACGAGAGAATCCTTATATGCCTTATCTTGTTTATACAACTTTCAGTTCTGCTTTAACTGCAGAGATGCATTTGGAACGTGATGGTTTTGATACTTTGTGACCCCCACCCTCCACAGACCCTCCCCCTAAGATTGGCCGTTTCCATATTGGCAATTACTGGCAAAAATGAAACGTGAAAAACAGCATGATATCCAAACAGCATGGGTTACAGTTATTAGCCTATGTGAAGGAGGCATCCTCCTCCCAGCAACACAGTCAGAGCAGAGGAATGCACACAGCTGAAGAAAAGAAAGGCAGCTGGCAGCATTTCCTGGAAGAGTCCCAGACTGAGAGAGTGAGAGAAAGCAGATAGAGGGGATAGCTTCGAGGACAAGGAAGAGTGGAGAGGCTGCAAAAGGAAGAGGCTGGGAGGAAGGAAATAAGGGCATGGAGGATGGTGACAGAGGGGAAAGCGAGTGGGAAGCTATAATGCAGAAGGGGAGGAAGAGAAGTAGTAGGTGTTGGTCAAGAAAGTCTGGGGGCCAAGTAGCCTCCAGTGGTCGCCTTCTGGGAGTTGAGATAGGATTCCATAAGGCAGGGAACCTATACTAAAGGAATCCCTGGAGTGGAGGGGGAGAAAGAGAAAGAGTTTATGCTTTGCTTTTTGAAGTTTCCTAGCTTGTATTAACACAAAGGGAAATGATGGATGGAAAACGAAGGGCCCTGCGTGAGGGGCAAGGGGAGAGAGGATCTCCCAGGGTGAGAGGCTGGGTGGAACAGGGTGGGGAGATGGAGATGATATTTTTATTTCAATGAATGTGAATCCCGAATGCTAAACTGAAAGAAGCATTCACAGCAAAACCCTAAATGTTAAAGACTCTGCTCTTTTGTACCACATTCAATGCAGTGACTAACATTGGGAGGTACAACAACATCTTAAACCTCACTAGTTGTTTGAGGTCTGAAATTTGTCTGGATGCCTCCCCCCCCCCAAAAAAAAATCACTTTTGCACACTTCTATGTTTCTTGCTTTATTTTAAGAAGGAAGTTCTCAAAGTACCTACATTCCACTCTGAACAATAGCAGGAAATAATGCACATCTTGTGAGAGGGGTTTCGTTTTTTGTGAGGGGCTGAAAGAATGCAGAGGAAACAGCAGTGACTAGGCCAGAGGTGGGAGAGAACAGATGTGCAGCTACCCTGACTCTTACTCAAAAAGCTGGAAAGGTCTTAAATGTCAGCCAATGTCTGTAGCACACATGTGGTGCATGCACGTAATGGGGGGGGCATAACTCAGTATTAGAGCCCATGCCTGGCATGCAGATGATATCATACTCAACCCTTAACATATCCCATTAAAAATATCACATAGGAGAAGATGGGAAAGACCCTGGAAAGCCATGGCAAGAGAGTAAATAGCTCTGGACTGTATCAGGGAAGGGAAACCTGTGGTCGTGTAGGTGTTCATAGAATTATCAAATCATGGAATTGTAGAGGGACCACAAGGGTCATCTAGTCCAATCCCCTGCAATGCAGGTATTTTTTTGCCCAACGCAGGGCTTGAACTCACAACTCTGAAATTAAGCCTCATGCTTATCGACTGAGCTATCCAGAAGGAATATGTTGTTGGACTACAACTCCCATCATTCCTGACCACTGGCCAAGCTGGCTGGGGCTGATGGGATCTGGAGCCCAAGAATAACATCTAGAGGGCCAGAGGACTAGACGCACAAATAGTTTGTTCTGGTATAAGGCAGTTTCCATCCCAAGTGGGACAGCTGATATAGCTCATCATCTCCAGTCACCAGCTGTCTAATCTCAGGCAGGGGCACTTGGAGGAGTAACACCTTGGATAATATTACAGTCCAGACAGGTTCAGCTGGAAGGAGATGGTCCTTTAGACACCCTGGCGCCAACCAGCACTTTGGATTATATCTGGAAATTTACAGATAGCAATTAATGCCATAGGCCAGGAGCCAGCTTTGCCTGCTGAACAGCAGCTTGAAGGGGGAGAAGGCAGAGTGGTTCCACCTGCAACTGATCAGCCTTCAAGGACTCAGAGGAGAAGGCAATGATGAGAGCCAGCTGGCTTCAGCCTCCTTAAGCAGAACTTCCAGCAGCACTCAGTTGCTGGTAACGATTGTAGTCATAACCCTACCTTGCTGCTTCCTGCTTGTCTTTACCCTTGACCCCAATGATCATTGGATTCCATGATCCCTGGACCGTCTGACCACATGGATTGCTGTTCACCTGACCCTAGGACTTTGGACACTGACTCTGCCTCCAGGCAAGTACACCTCTGAGACTCTTCTGGTTGGCTGGCCTCCCAATCCACTAAGCTCTGCCGTTGTTGCTCAGCAATGAGACTACGATAATTAAGCTCTTTTAGAAGTGGCAAGAGATGTTCCCAGTGGTGCCTGTCTGTCAGTAGTCTGTCACTAGCTGAAGTTTTTGAGAAGAACCCCATGCACAGTCCACAGTCCATGCACAGTCCATCGCTATAATCAATCCCAGGTGTTACTAGGGCTAGCAGTAATTTTGCAACCCCTATCCAGAAGGGGCTATCAACTAGCCCATGAAAGGCAAAAACTTGTGCCCTGATATTAATGTTGAGTGGTTTGTTTGACTGGTAGAGCTATGATCCAGTCAATTCTCATCAATGCATGCCACCTTTGTATCTTGCTCAGAGTTTTAATTACCGTATTTTTCGCTCTATAAGACGCACCAGACCACAAGACGCACCTAGTTTTTGGAGGAGGAAAACAAGAAAAAAAAATTCTGAATCCCAGAAGCCAGAACAGCAAGAGGGATCGCTGCGCAGTGAAAGCAGCAATCCCTCTTGCTGTTCTGGCTTCTGGGATAGCTGTGCAGCCTGCATTCGCTCCATAAGACGCACACACATTTCCCCTTACTTTTTAGGAGGGAAAAAGTGAGTCTTATAGAGCAAAAAATACAGTACTTTGAGAGAAGACATTTGTCCTGCTCCATTGCAGAGATACTTTGCAGTCCCCGTCCCCCCTGTTCAGATACCCATTACAGGAAGGCAAAACTCAAATTGCCATTTGATGCTGTTAGGTCACCTCCAGACTGTCGGTACTTTGCAGAGGTTCAAGCAGTTTGGACAGTTAAAAGTGGGTGGAATCATTCTGGCCTCATCTGCACTAAACCTTTAAAGCTTCCACAATAAACGAGTGATTCCTTGCAAGCGTGGAACAAGGGTAATACGGGACTTGTAAAAGTACATTTGGTCTGTTTGCTCAGACAAGTTTTAAATGGTTGACACTGTATACGCTTACCCACAGCAAGCTGCTCATATTTTGCCTCTTTCATTTTGCGGACTACTTCAGCTTCTTTCTCCTGGTGGGACATCTCTCGGAGGATTTTGCAAGCTGCCAGGGCTGCAGCTACACCTTCCTGACCCTGGGGTGGGGAAACCATGTAAAATCACATCCAAATCTTAAGAGACGATTAAAAACAATAGCATCTCCTCGAGATGCCACCTGCCCTGTTTATTTCATATTTCCCAATGACTGAGCAGTAAGCACTATTACAAGAGTGGCTAGGGAAACCCGGAGTATAAATAATAAAATGATGATGATGAAGATATTACAACCACATTGTGAATACTTCTGGAAGGGCAATCCCTTTAATCTGTTGCAGCAAAAAACCCCAAAGCATCTTAAAAACCCAGACACTTATTATCGCATAAACTCCCCTGCCCCCAATTAGATCCCACTGCATTAAATAATGAAAAAGGTGCTTGCTGAAAAGGCAAAAAGCTTGTCCAAAGTAGCATAATAAGCAGCTCAAAAATGTTTTCCTCTTGAAATGGACACTTTTAACAATTAGTGCTATTCTGGTCTAGCAGATTGGGCCTAAATTTCTGGCTAGCCTTGAAGTCCCAGGGAGGCTGTGGGCCAAGGCACATCCTTTCAACATGGGAACAAACAGGATAAGGGATTTTTGCATTGTAAACAGTGTGATATGAATGAATATGAGAATGCAGAAAAGGTCAATGGGAGAAGAGTTCATGAGAGACAATGAGAAAAACAGCAGGTGAAGGAGGAAGGTTGCAAGTAAGGAATGTGCTCACAAGTGAGGCTTAAAAAGCATTTTTTGAGGGGAGTGGCTTTGTTGTATTTGTTTCCGCCTTAAATTTGCTCATAGTGCAAATGTGCATTCTTCTGGCCAATTCAGATTTTACATTAGAATTGCCAATGCACCCCCCCCAACACACACACACACTGATTGACAACTTTCAGGTGTTTATAGAAGTGGTTTAAATCACTTAAAGATGATTTAAGTCTAACATGGGAAACACCCCAACAATTTAGTTGATTCAGCTACATTTTCCTTCTAAGTGATGTGAAAAGCAAATTTGTATTGGGGGCTTCTCACAATAAATGCTTTCCTGCCCAAAAGAAACTCGTGAAGGTGAATTCTTCAAAGCACTGTATTACTCCCATCTAGTGCTATGTGGGGTGTCGGTTTGGGGTTTTTTTTTGCCATGCCTGAGGACCCTGCTTTAGGCAGTTATTTAGAATGCCTGGGGGGAGTGGGGGTGGTTTTTGTTTTTAAAGAGACAGTTGCTGCCCAGAATGGACTCTCAAAGGTGGGCTCTCTGGATTCTTGGTGGGCTGGATTATTGCCCCATGCTTTCTAAGTACTATACAGGCTGTATAGCTGTTGGTTAGAGTGTGGCTATCTCATTGCTGCCATCAATATCAATGTATTTAGGGTGTCATTTTGGAAAGAGGGGTATGGAAAGGAATAGTTGGTTGGTTGTAAGTTGCTTTGTGTTTCCCTGGGCATGATAAAATGGCTAACAAATTTAATAAATAACAGTTCAGTGGAGACCCACCCCCCGAAAAACAGGTTGTATTCATGGTGCTAAATAGTTTTTTGTATGAGTGGAATGACTTCCGCTCGCGCAACTGAACTTCCCCCTCTCTTCTTCCCCCTAATCTGCTCTGGCAGTTCCCCCAACCCTCCAGAACAGATCTGGAGACGGTGAGGGGGCAGTAAAGGAAAGTCCCATTGCACTAGCAGAAGTTTATCTGCCCACACTGAGTTGAATATCACCCTTGGACTTTAGGTTTCCCAGAATTGTAAATAGAGAATTGGCATCAATGAACATTTTGACAATGTGATGAAACAGAGGGTTTCTGTTCCTTCTGCCTCAGTAAATTTAGGCTCTCTTTGCCTGTGGTTCATGTAATACAGGCATGTCCAAGCTCTGCGGTGGGCAACCCCTTTCAGGAGTCAATAATCCGAAAGCTATAGCACACGCTGCATACAGGCTTCCCTTTTATGAGAGGAAACAATGTGTTTATTCCTTTATGCCTTAGTTGTGGGGAAGCAGAAATGTCAGGTTTCCTGCTTGGTCCACCACAGGTTGACCCCTCCCTTTCCAGTAAGGTTTCTGATTGTTTCATCCAACCTGGTATCCAGGGATTGTGCCTGGTCCCAGATACAATGGCTTAATAGCAAATTACCCCTTTTACCCCGAGAAGGTCCGGGCATTAATTCCTAGCATCTCAATTTAAAAGGAGCTTGCTGAAAGGCCTTTGCCCAAGACCCTGGAAGGAATTAAGTCTGGTTTATTGTAAGGCAGCTCCATAGGATCAAACATCAGAAGCAAGGAAGGAGCTTCTCCAGGCATCAGTCTGCATCTGCTGTCTTGCAGTTTGTGGGCTATGGCATTAGGCAGGCAAGGTGCTTGCCAGGCCACACCTGGTACTGGTGGTCCTGCGGTTTGCATGAAGGCTGGGGTGGCACTATGGGGCATTTCCCCACTTCCCTCTCCAATGTTGATATATATTTTGTAATTGCTCCTGCTGGCTGTTGTTTTATTATTGCTTTTGGATGTTGCAGCCTGCTCACAAAAATGTACAGTGGTACCTCTGGTTACGTACTTAATTCGTTCTGGAGGTCCGTACTTAACCTGAAACTGTTCTTAACCTGAAGCGCCACTTTAGCTAATGGGGCCTCCTGCTGCCACCATACCGCCGGAGCACGATTTCTGTTCTCATCTTGAAGCAAAGTTCTTAACCTGAGGTAATATTTCTGGGTTAGCGGAGACTGTAACCTGAAGCGTATGTAACCTGAAGCGAATGTAACCCGAGGTACCACTGTATCATAAAAGGCAGGAAATAAACAAAGCAATAATGATAGCCTCCATAGTAAAGAGTCCATTTTGGATTGCTGAAGGGGAGGTATCTAAGTTCCCTCTCCCCACCAGTATCTTCTATTTGCCCCTCCAATAAAGAACAGGTAAGTAGCTAAAATAAGCATTTGAAATCTGTAGCACTGCACTATGAAGCTTACCATCGCCCAGAAGTAGTACGCCATCTTGTGCCGGTTTTGAAGTACTGCCCATAAGAATAAATCTCTCCAAGGATTTTCACTTTTCTGATTCATATCCAAAGGGCTCGGTACCCTTTTTGCACTTATCTTATCCTAAAGGAGCAAATAACTTGTTATAATGCTCTTTATCTGGAACTTCCCTAAGTGGATCTTTCTATTTGCAGGCAAGCGTTATGATCCCAGCCATATCAAAACAATTTTCCAAAGTAGGAGAGACCTCTTGCTCTTGAGCAAACCCTTCGCAAGGATCTTCTCCATGCCACAGCAATTAGCTACAGAGGGCATCAAAGCATGCTTAGAAGGATGTACAGCACACTGAACGGCCGCCATCTATTAATTGTGATGTACCAGATCATAGTCCGAATAAGTGGAACGGCATCCCCTGTTCCATGCACTGTAATGTAGGAGAGGGGACATAGCCTTTAAAATTAATTATGCTCTTCGAGTTAAGGAACATCTGGAAACATGTAGGCAACCTCTATCAATATGTTTTGTATCCTTTTAGAAAGATAATGCGTCTCTGAGTTTTCAGGCAAATTTTATGTTCCCCAATTGTCCGGATGAAACCACGGCATAGCACTTATATCTGTACCAGTTGCAAGCCCCCAAATGGCACCTCTGTCTGTGCTGAACGCAAAACCAGAGAGCTCCCAGCTCCCTTAAATAAGCCTCTTGGATTTTGTTTTTTTGTTTTTGGCAGTACCCTGAGATAATTTATTCACTGTCACTACTGAATTAAAGGCGCACTGTGTCCTGGAAACAAATGAATAGGTATGAGAACATCCTGTCTGAAAGACATTGGGCAAAGAAGCTGCAATTAGCCATATGACCCAGCTTTCTGTTATATCAGATTTTTATTTGGTTTTGGCAACAAGAGCACACTTTTCAGCAGACACTAATTAATGGTGGCTCATTAAAATTCAAGCAAGTCATCTCAAGGTCTAGCATGCAAAAGCTCGTACATAAATCAAGGCTCAACTGTTCAATCCCTTTACTGCTTCCGTTATGCTGAGAGAGAGAGAAAAGTAAGCATTTTGATGCTTACATTTCCCAGTGAAAGCACCACATCAGTATCTGATCCTGATTTTGGATTTTATGTCCTCACTACCCCATGATGTATCTTTCAATATGGTCAAACAGGAGCATTCTGATTGCATTTTTGTCCTTTGGACAATACTCTAAGCCCTGGTCCAGAAGTCACAGTGTGATATTTTATCAATACATTGAAGAGGTAGTTTGCAGTTTGCTACACCATTTTATTAAAAAATAGTTTCAGTATATATGCCCTAACATAGGAAAGGAGAAATGCATAGAAATCAACAAACAATACATGTGTGTAATGTGGAATTTTCATATTTACTAATAGCATCACATAAAAATATCCAATAGTTATCCATTACAGCCAGGCAACCGCAATCTAGGCAAAAACAATAACATTGGAGTTGCTATCTGGTGGGGAATACTGCAAACTCTAGACCAGGGATCGGGAACCTGTGCCCTTCCAGGTGGACTTTAACTCCCATCAGCCCTGGACAGCATGGCCAGGGGTCAGGGATGATGTGAACCACCATTTCTGAGAGCCATAGATTGTCCTTCCCAGCCCTAGAAGGAAGAAAATTGTGAAAGTGGACAATGTCCAAGTTTCTGATGCCTCCCGCAATTTACAGGTGAAAGGCATATTGCCTTAAGGATTTCAATGACACATTCAGGCCATTTCAACAGTGATTTGACTTGTGAGCACAGCAGCTTATCATCTGTGACTTCTTGGACCTGAAAATAATGGAATTGGGTGGTATGCCAGTGGTTATATACTGGGTCCCAAAGGACCATGCCTTGTGTTCAACACTCCCTATGTTTTTGAGAAACTTACGGCTTTCTTCTTGCTTCCAGATTTAGGGTCTTGGTAGAAACCTCTGCATGCATCGTGAAGGAAGTCCTTCAGCACCCTGGAAACCTCATGAAGAGTGAAGAGAGGGCAAGTGTCCATTGCTTCCTTGTGCTGTTGACCACTGATCCCTGCCAAGGTGAGTCTGCTTTCCTCATGTTTTTTAAGCAGAAGCGAATAGAGGAGGCACTTTGGCGAGATGGTACAGTAGAGTCTCTGAAGACGGCTGTAGGTCAGGAAGTCATACATGTTGGCCCCATTATCAATGAACAACTTGACAAATTCAGGCTTGTCATTCACCAGGGCATCCATCATCACTTCCTCTAGGTCACATGACTGAGTTTACAAGAAATGCAAAAGGAAAAAGAAATTCCATTGCAGTAGTTATTAGCGTTAGGAATTGTGACATTCTTGCCACATGCAAACCAGAGCAAGGCGGTCCATTGGACCAGACAGACAAAAACAAGGTAAAGAGAACTTTACATCCTGGCACATTTCAATCTGCCACAGCAAGCATACAAACCCTGTTAAATAGCTTCTGGACTGGACCAGTTTACCGTACAACAAATTTGCACCAAAGGAGCAATATGCAGATAATGTACTGTACTACCTTATGCCTGGTGTGCTCTGGTCCATGGGGTCATGAAGAGACAGACACAACTAAATGACTAAACAACAAAACCTTATGACTGTTCATTCATCAGGTTAAGTAGCTGACTTGCATTGCACCCTGAGAGAGCCATTACATGCTAAGAATAGAAACAATCAATATGCTTAGGATATGAGCATTTTGTCCTTCGCTGCTCAATTAGGTACTGGTCTAGACATTGCATGCACTGTGTGGACTGGTCTGCATCCCCTTGGCAAATTCCCCTGGCAGTGTTCTCTGGTAGAACCAATGGTATGAGCAGTAGCTCTCATTCATTGAGCCCACACCCTGATCCACATCCCAGGTATTAAGTGGTAAGACCAGGGCCAGATTTAGGTTTGATGAGGCCCTAAGCTACTGAAAGTAGGTTTTAATTTATTTGTTTTTATCTTATATTTTGGAAATGTTCATCCAGGGTTTTTTCCTTAACATTTTTTGGGGGCCCCAGGAGAGTGGGGCCCTAAGCTATACCTTGTTTAGCTTATACATAAATCCGGCACTGGGTGGGACACTCACTATGTGCTTTGCTCAAGGAGACTCGTCAAGGAGAGCCAGTGTGGGGTAACTTGTGGTGGACTTGTAATCTGGTGAACTGGGTTTGAGTCTCCGCTCCTCCACATGCAGCTGCTGGGTGACCTTGGGCCAGTCACACTTCTCTGAAGTCTCTCAGCCCCACTCACCTCACAGAGTGTTTGTTGTGGGGGAGGAAGGGAAAGGAGAATGTTAGCCGCTTTGAGACTCCTTCGGGTAGTGATAAAGTGGGATATCAAATCCAAACTCTTCTTCGTCGTCGTCTGGTGGCTACACAAATATCCTCTTCAGCACTAAGCAAGGGCCGTTCTATTCTCCTGGAAATTTTAAAACTATGTTTCTTTGCCCTTGAAACAAATGATTTCTGCTTGGTTTCAATCCTGTTATCTCAGTTTGTCCCAGTTTTTAGGCAAGACATTGAACATTTGGTTTAATGTTCTAAATGCTTTAATTAATCTTATAATGTTTCAGTTGAACTCTTGTGTGAACTACCTAGAGGACTCTGTAGATTGGGCAGTCAAGTATATATTATAAATAAATAAATAAACTGTGATGAAACTGAAAGTGGTCCAGGTCATAGTCTGATGACTTGCTAAAGTTTAAACAGGTCTGATCAGAGTCTGAATTAGAGACTTAAAGGAGAGCCCTACATATCCTTCATTGAGATGCATTTTGGAAGAAAGCTGATTTCTATCACTTCTTCTGGAATAAACATTTGGGGAATTTTTATCACAGAAATGCCGGTCGAGGATGTAGACCAGCCCTGGGATTCCTGACAGTGGAGTGCTTTGAGGATGCAATGGCATCAGATATGAAAATTAATCTTAGGCCCTTTTCAACTGTTCAACTTTTAGATTACTTCTTCAGGATTGGTGAAGAAGATTACTCATGGGCATAACTCAAAAACTTCATTCGCCAGCAGATGCTAAAGTTACCAACTTTAGCATAAGCAACTCAAGCATGAAAAAAACAAAACAAACCCTACCTTCCACTCAACATCTCCATTGAATATTTCACTCTTGGCTATATCCACTCTGTTCCAGGCCACAGCCAGCTTCAGCTCATCCAGGTATTCTTGGGCTTCCTGACTATGACTTTTACAGGCTACCCATAAACATAAAATAAGAATACATTAATCATGTGCCTTTAGAATGGATTAACAGGTCAGTCCTATGCATATTTACTCAGAAATAAGTCTCACAAGTTCAGTGGGGTTTGCTCTGAAGTATGTGTGCCTAGGACTGCAACCCCAAACTCTCAATAGTTAATAAAATAAAATAAAAAAGCTTTCCTTTGAATCCTATTTTCTGAAAGTTTCAAGGTTGGTTGGTTTGTTTTAAAAAAATGTTTTCACTACATTTAAAGCATTACAATTCAATTAACCCAACTTAACTTGGGAAATGGCACTAAACAAAGTAAATACGAAAAGTTAACCATCAATAGTCTGTCATTCATAAGCTTCTACCGGAGTGTGATTGTTTTTCATTGACTTTCTTATTTCATATGACACCTTTTAAAGTTTAGGGAGAGAGTAAATATTTTTCAATTTCAGTGAGCCTTTAGTCTGCAGTGGTCTTATGACTTTACTATTGTTTTATTATTTTTTAATTGTTTGAAATAGAATTGTTTTGTATATTGGTGGTTTTATCCATATTTTCCACCATTTTGAGTTTCTACAGGAAAATAAATTTATAAAGAAATTAAATGAGGTAATACTGGATTAGGGAGCCTTCTTTTTTTAAATAGACAACATATATTAAAAACATGTTACCTTTAACCAGTGCTTTCAAAATAACTGTATCCAGTTCTTCTGAACCTTCTTGTTCAAAGCTATGCACTGTTAAAAGCTGCTGCTGGACAAGAATGCTTTGGATCTAAAGAGATAAAGCAGTTTGGTGTTTCCCACTTCCATTATAGTAAAAATGGTGAAATCCAACAAAATCATTCTCAGAGTTAGCTCACTGACATCAATGGATGTAAATTACTTAAAACCTCTGCTTTCAATGCATCTGCTCTATGACTAACACTTGATATCACCCAAAATATACAGAATACTCAGGCCTTAGTTACAAATCATTTCATTCCTTACCAAGGGATAAGAGAGTCAGAACCAAAGCAAAGACCTTTGGGGGCCAGTTTTGCACGCTCTCTCTCTCTCTCTCTCTCTCTCTCTCTCTCTCTCTCACACACACACACACACACACACACACACAGACACTACAAAGAAGAAGGAGAATCTATATATGAATGGTTGAGGGAGAGGAGACTGAGAAGAGATGTAATAGCCATATTCAAATATCTAAAGGGCTGTCACATGGAAGATGGAGCAAGCTTGTTTCCTCCTGCTCTGGAGGCTGGGACCTCAACCAGTGGATTCTAGTTATAAGAAAGGAGATTCCAACCAGGGCCATCTTACCCATAGGCGCTAAGGGTACAAGGCACCCGGGCGCCGGGCTCTCAGGTGTGCCAGACTGAGAGTCTGGGGCCCGAGAATTGAGTCCAGGGAAGAGCTCGCCAGTCAGTCAGAGTTCTGTGGCGGGCTCTCTACTGTGGGCGGCTCTGCACTGCGAGTTGGGGGGTGACTGAGCCAGCGAGATGCTGAGGCGGCCGGCTGGCTCCGCCCTCGTGCGTGCCTAGGACTGGGCAACCTGGGAGTGGGCGCCAGGAAGATCTTTGCACCCTGGCGCCGCATATGCTTAAGACAGCCCTGATTCCAACTAAACAACAGGAAGAATGTTCTGACTGTAAGAGCTGTTTGATAATGAAACAGACTTCCACGAAAGGTGATGGACTTCCTTGAAGGTTTTCAAGTTGAGTGTGGATGGCCATCTGTCATGTTTAGGTTACAGTAGTTGAGACTGCTGCATTGCATGGAGTTGGATTAGATCACCCTCAAGGTCCCTTCCAACTCTACAGTTTTATGATCAAGCACTTGTATACAAAATCCTTAGTATTACAAAATGAAAAGGGAAAGAGAAGTACGGGGGTGGGGGATTGGTCTCATTTAAGAAAGATTAAGGAGGTGAAAGAATGGCTGGAATTTAGAAGTGCACCAAAGTATAGCCCAGGATGGTTGACAATAGAGTGGATAGGTGTTTACTGCAAACTGCTCATAGTCTGTAAATGCATTTGATGACTACAAAATACCAAGAAGTCAATTTACCACCGCAGTCCACTGAAGAATGTCTGTCCCCAAGAAATCCTCTGTGGGGAATTTCTCTTTTAACTGTTTTTCTACCACCTGTGGCACAATTAAGTGTGGCTCATTCATAAGTGCAGCTAAGATGTCAGCTATGCCACCAGATCCAGCCAAGATGAGCCAGGGGGCAGAATTTTCCAGTCCCCTGCAAATTCGCTGTTAAAAAAACAATAAAAATGATGAGACCATACATGTTCCAATAACATGAAAATGCAATGTTATGCAAAGTTTCTTTGCACAAACAAGCCCAGTTAGTTGTATGTATAGGACTGCTGCCTAAAGTGACATTCTCAGAAATAACTGAACCCCTATGTTGCATTTTGTTATCTAGATTGCTATCTTTGCAAAAGGTTTGTTGAATTAGCCTGATAGTGACCCCAGTAAGGTTACAATTCTTAGACTAGACTGTGGCCCATTTCTCAAAGAAAATGTAAGAGATGGATCTTATTTTAATGAATTGTTCAATAGTGAAATCCCAGGACTCTTCAGTCGAAAAGCTTTTTTTCTTTTTCAGTAGCTGGACAAGCACATGTGCTGAAGTGGTTTTGCATTCATCAAAAAATGTTGTCTTTAGCCATTGTTGAATCACATTTTCTAAGAACTACCTTCATGTGAAATGACACTCCAGGGTCATGGGCATTGCTCTGGCACTGGGAGAAAATGAAAATGGTGTCAGCACTGATGAGTCTAGTAATGCAGGCCCAGTTCTCCAGGGTCAGCAGTGCCACCAGGTTGCTCTTTCTGAACGACTGGCATAGCAGCAATGCCACTGACAAGGATGCCAGGCCCATGACACTGTTTTTGCCAGTGTCATTTGAATTTCCCCTTTCTGTATCACTGGCGCCACATTGTGGGGGAGAATGTAAATGGTGACAGTACATAGGAAGCTCATCTTATATCGAGTCAGATGATTGGTCCGTCTAGCTGAGTACTGTCTGCCATGATTGGCAGCAGCTCCTTTTGCCTTTTGGTCACTAGCTGGCAGCCACATAAACATACCTTACAAGGAACTCTGGCTCATACTCAGCTATAGCCTCGTCCAGACTTGCCCTGCTGCTTCTCACCTGGGAAACCCGATCTTTACCGCTGAACTGGAGAAAACATCAGTCGGGTTTTCAGTGGATTGACATTTGATCCGATTCAGCGCTAAAGAGCGGGTTTTCTTGGGGAAAGAGATGGAGCAAACATAAAACTTCTTGGACCTATGCTTTCTAGGCATGGAACAAGCAGAAGTGTGGGCAATCCCTGTGCTGTGTGCTGGTGGTGCCTTTGTCTGCACCAAACAGAGGTGAATCTACCTAAGCCTGTTGAGCCGCCTTTAGCTTTTTGGACTTCAACATCGTGTCCAACTCCTTCTCTCCTTCCTCTCTTGTTTTATTAACTATCCAGCCTACAGATGAGTTCTAGAGAACTCAAAGGCTTGCTCACTATTTTGGAACATTTGAGTTACTCCCAACAAAAGTGCGGTCCCTCTGTGACTTTTGAATCTTTTTCTGTCACTTATCAGCAAAAAAAGCAGGAGCCATTATTTTTCTTGGTCTACATTTCGTGTCTAGCACACTGTTCGGCTAAGTGTAAGGCACCTGAATGTTTGCTTAAATAGCTTCCTCTCTTATTTAAACAAGATGATTAGCTCTTTACCTCGAGTATGTTCGGTCTTCCATTCACAAGCAAGCAGAGCACAGGGATTTCAATGCTGCCTGTTCCTGGATCAATAGAGAATTAAATATTTAAGTTAATAAAATCTATGCAGTTCTATTATCTCAGCTGTTCATTTGTTTCCCCCATCTGCAAGCATATCAACCCTGCTTCTCCCCGGCAAGGACAACAACAGGCTATGGTATATTTTTTATACATAGTTAAAAGATAATGACATAGTATGGGGATATCCATTGTAAGGTTATCCTATCCTACATTCAGCCACCAGAAATTGCATTGAATGCTATTAGCCTTCTGTGCTCTTCAGACTCCTTGCTGGATATTGTTTGGATATCTTAAGGGTGTTATACTAGAGGAGGATTTTGAACTGCCACCTCACTTGTTAAAAGCAACCAAAATAGTGATTTGTCAAAAACAGAAAAGCCCTCTGTCACCCTCTACTGACTTTTGATTATCTAAAGCCTGGGAGATGGCAATGGGAGGGGTGAAATCTCCTCAGGCTTATGTGGTCAGACTGACAAATCTGATAAGAGTAAGGGAAGGCAAATAAAAAGACAACTAATTTATTGGGAAATGGGGTCCATTTAATCTTTGCTGGGATAATAAAAGGCAAGATAATATATATATAATATCAGTAGTAGACTATTATAAATAATAATCCTATCATCTGTATTTAAACAAATGTCCTTGTAATTGCAAGGAACCCAAGTAATAATCTAGGTCTCATCTTTCCTTTTTCACGTCTGCCCACCTCCGTAGCCAGTGCGCTGTTCTGAAATGTGTTTCTCGAAGGTGAGACGTAGCCTTGTAGTCCCATCCGGCTCATTCGGATCTTTTTCATCCACCAAGATAAAATGAGAGTGGTGGTTGTCAAGAAAATATAGAGGACCTTGGGCACTGTGGTCAGATTTGTAGCTTATAAGGCTGTCATTCTAGGGAAAAGGAGAGATTGTTTTTTGTACGAAAACATTGGTCTGGTTCAAGCATAGTGGGAAACCATGGCTTCCCACGATGAGGATGAGCTGCAGCATGCATCAGGGTCACATGCTCACCCCTCTTCTCTATTGAGTGCCAGAGTAAAAGATTAGAAGCATCTCCTACAGTTTTCAACAAACCACAGTTCCCTATGACAACTGAACACAGAGACCTGCGGCTTGTTTAAATTGTAGCTTGTGCAGAAACCAGAACCACGGTTAGCTCCTCCCTTGTTCTCACTAACTAGAGTTTAAACAAACCAGAGTTCCCTGAGTTGTCTGGTCTGAGGAAGGAGGTCTAACGGGCACTTCTGCATGTGTTCAGCTGCATGTGTTTAGGAGCTCCTGTGCGCAAGGCGGAGCAACCTGCTCCAGTACACATCGGAGGGGGAGTGGCGTGTGTCCTGGGGGGGGGTGCGCCGCCTACGGGGTGTGTGGCGCGAGTCCCAGGGGGTGCATAGCGAGTGGTGTGCAACCTGGGAGGTGCCGCCAATTGGGGGTCGGCATTTTGTGTGTCCCCCCCCTTTGGAATAGCACCCGGGGCAGACTGCCCCCCGCCTCCGCCTCGGAACACCCCTGCCTGTGCGATCAGGAACGTGCATTACCAGGGTTGTGGATTATACAGGCTTCAAAGCACATTCACCAGATAGTACAGATAGTACAGTATAGGAAGGACAGGAGTTTGCATTCTCTGTTCAGGTATAAAGCTGTAAAGTCTTACTATTAACGCTCAAAAACTCATGATGTTTGTGTGTGCGCGCTATATAAATATATGTGCATGCATGGGAGTAAAATGAAAATCTATCCAACAAACTCTGAGAACTGATTTGTGACTTAGGGAGTCTGCACAGCACTATTCTGCCACCTGGTCAATGGGACCCAAGGGTTACAATTGTTTTCAGGCGGCCCCCTGCCACCAACATCCTTTCTCTGTTTTCCTCGGCGGAAAATATACCTTGGCATTATCCAGAAGTTCTCTGTGGCGAATTTTCCCCAGTGAAGTTATTCCTATCGCAACCACTTTTACTGTGGAGGAAGTACTTGCCAGCATGTGATCCCGAACCGCTTGCCCTATATGTTTTGTTATTCCAACACGCAAGGCACTGGTAAAGATCCATGCACCTGAAACAAAATTTTACAAGCGTAAGATGTTAAGGACTTCCCAAACTTGGGTATTCAGGTTTTTGGATGACAATTCCCATCATGGTCCTGCTAGCTAGGGTTGAATTTTGGCAAAGTTCAAATCTCAGCTCAAATGCTCCGATGCCAGCACCATCCTACATTCCCTCTAAACTGACCTTAAACAATCTGTTAAGAATGGCTTGTGTTGGTGACATGCATGCTGCCAGGCTCACAAATCTGGGATGACAAATAAGTATATTCCAGGTAAACCTGCAGTTCAACCCCCCCCCCTCCCTTACACCAGGATGTACCATCTCTTTCAATGGTTATTTCTCTATAGCTCAGGAGCGAAACATTGGATTAAATATATGCTTAAAAACAAGGGGAGCTGTGACTCAAACAAATGATACTACTTATGCTTGAATCATGCCATGCTGATAATCTGATATTGTCTCATTCACATGGCCTTGTTTTCAGAAAGATTTATCATATTGAATAAACAGGGGTAGAACTCTTTTGATAAAAAGTTGAGCCACTTTTAACATGAAGAACTTTTAGGAAATTTCCCCCTTATTAAGTAGGAATCATATTTGACAGGGATGTAAACAACTACTTTCCCATTTCAAGGTGTGGAACCGACCAGTGCTTTGCGCAGCCTTCACCAGTCCTTTTCTGAAGGTGTCACGCAGCCAAGGTTTCATCTGAAAGTTCTCTTCTTCTCCTACTAAAGAGACAACCAGGTTGGGAGCAGGAAGGTTCCACTTGTTAATCATGACGTCAAATATAACTCCAGGGTGGATGGCACATGGCACCTTAATAAACTGTAACCAAGAAAGGGGCATTCAGAAAAGAGGTGAGCGCCACAGGGAACTCTAGAAGTCAAGTCAAGAGCCGCTCTGCCTTTCACATGCTTTGGGCAAGCTCAAGATAGTTTACTGCCAAAAGCAGAACTGAAAATGACCCAGAAAATGGCTGGGAGATCCTCCAGTGGAGGAACAGCTGTGTCCTGTTGCTTGCTCCTACCAGAGCAGAAGGTGGAGGGCAACTTTTCCCATCCCTCCCCAAGTGTTTTCCCTTTGGTGTCCCTACCATTGACATGAATGAGGGGAGTGGATGACTGTGCCAGCTCCAGGTCTGGAGTAGTTTTTTGCCTTTGCGGGGGGCATGTTGGGACATCCAAGGCCTCCCCTAATCTGCCCTTAGCATACCCCATTTTTGAACCAATTTCCTATGGTGTTTCACCAGCAGAATAGCACCAGTAGCTTTCTGTTATCATGTGATGGGTGGGCTTTGCCCATAGACTATGCCTGCAGAACTCCCTCTCTACCCATGGAGAAGGCAGCCCCCTGAGTAGATTCATTAGGCAGTAAAAACCCATCAGATGTAGCAGGGTTGACTACTAAGCAACTATGCATAAGATCAAGATCAAGGTGCACACCTGCTGAAAGGTAAATGTCCTGACTTAAATGTTTTGTGAATCACAGGCTCATTGTATCTGAGATCACTGGTTTTTGTTTTGTTTTGTTTTTGTTTTTAGGTATGTGAATTGTTTCAAATGTGTTTTTGGAGCTTCTTCGCAGAGTTGATCCCATATCTTGAATGTTAGCACAAAGTACAAAGATATACAAAGGATGAAAGAAATAAGATTTTTAGAGTAAAAATAGTAGAATTCCCATCTTAAAAGACCTTCATGTCCCCCCAGTGAGAGGTTTTGTGCTACCTTTCCACGTTTCTTTCCAGAAGCCATGAAGTCGATTTCTCCTGTGCAATATGGCAATTCCCTTGGAAAGGCTCCTTCTTTCTCATTATTGTGCAGTTTTGCTTGTGAGTGCTCCTTTGGGACCACTGAGGGATCATCAGCCTGACTGGCTTCCCTGAAGTAAGATAATTAAAAGATGAGTGACTTCAATGATGGGGCTTATAACAAAAGTGTAATGGAATCACACCCAAAGTCATATTTTTAAAAATGTGAATGTCATCGTGATGGCTCAAGTTCACTATTTTAGGAGCATTTACATGGCTATATAGGGGACGCGGGTGGCGCTGTGGGTAAAAGCCTCAGCGCCTAGGGCTTGCCGATTGAAAGGTCGGCAGTTCGAATCCCCGCGGCGGGGTGCGCTCCCGTTGTTCGGTCCCAGCGCCTGCCAACCTAGCAGTTCGAAAGCACCCCCGGGTGCAAGTAGATAAATAGGGACCGCTTACCAGCGGGAAGGTAACGGCGTTCCATGTGCTGTGCTGGCTCGCCAGATGCAGCTTTGTCACGCTGGCCACGTGACCCGAAAGTGTCTGCAGACAGCGCTGGCTCCCGGCCTCTTGAGTGAGATGGGCGCACAACCCCAGAGTCTGTCAAGACTGGCCCGTACAGGCAGGGGTACCTTTACCTTTACCTTACATGGCTATATATAAAGTGCATACATGATCTAATGCATTTTATGTTATATATGTGCATCTGAATTCGTATGTATGCATGGCGGAAGAACAAGAGACACTTTTAAACCATACTTGCTGCCTTTTTCTTAATTCTTTAAGATCGTCACAAATGAACTTACACTTTACCACTTAAGTCCATGTTATCATTTGAGATGCTTTCTCTTCTTCTAAAGGCTTGGAGAACAATATTCTGGGCAGGGGAGAGAAAAGAAGTCAAGCTATATTTAGTTTACAGCATTCTAGTTACTAATATTTCACAGTAACATTATTGAAAAAAGAAACCAGTTAAGAGGTCTCCTACGACAATCGGCTTATTGAGCAGTCATCCTGATTTGCTTACACAAAGCTTATCTGGAGGTTGTAGCCAATCTTTATTGAGTATCCATTCTAATTTGTTTGTGGGGAGATTATCCAGCAATGAGCATTCATTCTGATTTGTTTGTGAGTGTTTTTTCTTCATTTTCCCATTAGTCATGTTTATCCCACACTTTTCAGTGGATTCTCCTGTCATTTTCCGCACTGATTCTTTTTCCGAAGTAGGTGTGTTGCAATTAGGGTGACAGAGCACTTCAATTAGAATTGTTCAAACCTTAATTTAAAGTATGTGCTTTAATCCCTCCTGCAAAAGAGTGATAGTCTGGAGGTACCCAGAACAGGAGACTGCATGTTTAAAGGCAATCCTTTGCAGCTGTTGCTCAAGACAGCACTACCTCCAGCCAGAGGGAGGTGGCAAGCGAGTCACAAATAAAGCATAATAGAAACACTTTTAAAGTGGGAGTCAGAGAAAGGGAGAGAGATGACAGAATATGAAATATTGTAAATAGGACTTTTTTCAGCTGGAACTCACTGGAACTCAGTTCTGGCACCCTTCATGTGGGCACCATTATAAGAGAACAAGGGAGGTGTTCATAGTGAATTTCGGCACCTCTTTTTACTGGAAAAATAGCACTGATTGTAAGCGGTGTGTGTATGTGTGTGCATGCTGCCAGTCCCTCGCTCAAGATCTGTTGAGAGGTGATGGATTTAGTTGTCTGTTGGAGTGCTTAAGCTGTGCCCTCACTTGAGCTCCACATGCATATTTATAAATAAGCTCAAACATTACAAAATTTCCAGAAGCCACTAGTGGCCTCCTTCCAAAGAAAACCAAACCTGGGTAAGTGCTGTGCCCCTGGAACTTCTCACAGCCCAGGGAAAGAAGGGAAAGAATCATAACGATATCCTGTTTTAGACCAGAGGAACATGCATAATCTTCCAGGTTTATTTTTGTTTTATTGTGTAAGATTTTAGGAACTAGGTGTTAGAATTCCTGCTCCGTGATTGCAGTCATAGGATTGTTGTCTTTCACATGATGGGTGTATGTTTTGACTCCACAGAGTGGGAAGTCATGGAGACAGGATGTTTGTGTTACTGTGTTCCATGAAGTGGGACTATTGTCCTTTGTTCTTTCACTCTTTGCTTTCTGATGCTAGAGAGAGAGGGAGCCATGTTGCAGTGCTCCATGTGTGTTTATGTGTAAATAAAGTAGATTAGCCAAAATGCTGAGTTGCTGAGGTCTGTTACACAAGCTGCAAAGACTGTGCAGATCCTAAGTGTGCCAATGTCTGTTGGCATCGGTCGCTGTGATGTTCGGGCTGAAGAAAGCATATGGAGCTCCTGAACCATCAACCAGGAGGGAGGGAACATGCCAGTCGGGCATGTGTCTCTGCCAGGGTCCTACTCGAGAGTAGGACGAGCTTCTGACACTAGGGTGTGGATAAGATGGTAGGGATAGAACTGCAATAATTTGACAGCTCTATACAGATGAGAGATGCGGCACAAATTAATGGTGAATTTCATTCACAAGGTTTATTTATGATGTGGGCTGAATGACACATACAAAATAGTTTACAGAAGAAGATTGAACACATACAATACTTTGTCCAGGGAGAAGATAAATCAGCAGTACTACTTATTTATTGCAACTGGAGCCTGTAAAGTTATCTATGGCCAAAATACTAGACTGATATTTCCTAGTGCACATACATGGTTCTGCAACGAATTTTCACAGTATTTGGTTTGGATCGCAAATTGGCCTTGGAAGGAGCTGGCTTTTGTTGCTGACAGTACTGTTGCTCTTTTTTCTCTTTAATGTCTCTTTGGGGGCCTGCCATTTCATCAGCCTGTATTTACACAATGATGTGACTAAGCTTCAGTGAAGGCCATCTGATTCAAATCAAAACAAATGAACACGGTGAGGGAAGAGCCAGAAAAGGAAGGAAACCTTCCCAGAAGACAAGAACGAAAGTGATCCACAGCAAATGGCCCCGTGTCAGCTATAGAAATTAGCTTGTTTATCCTGTTGAGTAAACATATTCATGCTGACTAAGCATGGCAAGGGGGGGGGTGTCAAAATGGTTTCTGTTGGCCCTGTTCTTCTGTGCATATCCATAATAGCTTCTGAACATAGCACTCACACATTCAAAGTACACACAAGGTACAGATTGGAAGTACAATATGTTGTATATGTGTAAATTCCAGCCAGAGATTACCGTGAATGTACATAAGAACATGGATCATGCCAATGTCCCATCTAGTCTAGCATTCTGCTCTCACAGTGGCCAATCAGATGCTTGTGGAAAGCCAGCAAGCAGGATTTGAACACAAGAGCACTATTCTCTCCTGTGGCAAATTGGTATTCAGAATCATTACTGCCTCCAGCCCTCATGCCTGGTAGCTATCAATAGAGCCTCTCCCGACCCAAGGAGGGGGGGGGTTGCGGGGTTCACGCCCCAGACTACATTCTCAGGGATTCCCCCAGCTGATTATTATTCATTATCCCACAACGCCGGCCAATTGGCCGATGCTAGGGGCGGGCTTACAATAGGGCACTTAAGGTCGGGGAAGCCCTGGCTCGCCCCTTTTCTCTCCTTACAGCAGCTCCGGTTTTACCTGTAATCAATAAAGTTGTGGCCATTTTCGCCCATTAACCTAAGTTTTGGTGTCCGGTGTCTTTATTTATTCCATCCGTGGGAGGGGGCGGGAATCGCCATGCAACCTTCTCCTCCTATATAGAAGGGTGTACTTTCAGATACAATCCCAACACTACCCTCATGTCTCATGTCTAACCAGCATATCTATGTTGCCTGAACAGGGCTGCTTTTGTCATTATTGTATCCCTCTTCTTTAACAAAATAAGCTAAAAGTAGAAATGGTTAGAATAATATCATCTTTCTTTTTCTTTCCTCATGAAACAGCTTAATAATAGTATCTATATGTTTGCCCCCAAAATTTCCTGTCCTCTTAAAAAAAAAAAAAGGAAATGCTCAGGCATATTTTCTTTTACTTGAGCACGAAATGTGGTGAACTTAATTTAGCAGCTTTTGGTTAATTCTCAGGGATTCAGGTAGGGGTTAATCCGAAAGACAGACATACTAAGCACCACCCTGAAACATGATTCTGTTTCAGGGCAAGAGATTATGGTAACCATTACAAGTTGTGTTGGTATCAACATGTGATAATATTGTGAAATGAAAATAATTGTTATTGTTGAGGAGGAAGATTGGTGGAGAAAGATGACTGCTGCTGTGCTGTAATAAACCCCTGAAATAAAAAACAACAGGAGCAAGTGCTCCTGTCAAACTAATAGTGATGTCCATAGAGCCTTGGGGAGGCCATTTTGTCTGCCCCACAAACATCTGACGCTCATGTGGTAGTAACTCAAGATGGAGCCTTCTCTGTGGTGGTTCTAAATGTCTAGGGTCTCTTACCAAGAGGGGTGCCATGACTTTCTGCCAGCAGCTAAAGACCTCTTTATTTAGACAGGACTTTGAACCATAAACTGATTTGTAAGTATGTTGTGATTTGTTTAAAGTTTTCTCAGTTTTTTTAGTGATGCTCTACCTGATTTGTGTTTGTTACATCTACTGCTGTGTCATTGTACGTATATTGTTGCTGTTAGCCACCTTGAACATCATTTGGTGGGAAAGATAAGATACAAATTTAACATGTTTGATAAATAACAAGCAAACAGTCATTGCAAATGACTCACGGATCCAAATGGCAGGGGTTGGTCGTTGTGGCTCCCTTTGAAGGAACCAGTCTTATTTTGGGTAATGATGCAAAACACATTGACATCCAGTTCATCCCATTTATTTCCATTTTCTAATTGTCGCTGTTTTGCAAGAGGGATCCAAGAGCATTCCGAAACCTGGCTTCTCCAATTAAATTGGATTAAAGGGCTCTGCCACCCTAGTGCAACAAATCCCCATCGAAAAAGAAACAGGACTTTTCACAGTTTGGAAACTGATGGGAAAATGTACTGGAAAGTGTGGGATGAATGAATGAGTAATGACAACTCCCCAGGAGCAGATCAGGGCGAATGCACAATCAGTGTTATATAAATGCCTCACAAACAAATCAGAATGCCAGAGAGAGACAGAGAGAGATGTCATCAAGAAAGGCCTGAATGCATAATAATAATAATAATAATAATAATAATAATAATAATAATAATAATTGCAGCTGTTCTCAGTACAACCCTTGTCAGGAAGCACAGTGGCGCTGCTCGCTTTCCACACTCTTATGGGCAACCAATTTTGGCAGCCTAATGATACAGTGGTACCTCGGGTTAAGTACTTAATTCGTTCTGGAGGTCCGTTATTAACCTGAAACTGTTCTTAACCTGAAGCACCACTTAGCTAATGGGGCCTCCTGCTGCTGCTGCACCGCCGGAGCACGATTTCTGTTCTTATCCTGAAGCAAAGTTCTTAACCTGAAGCACTATTTCTGGGTTAGCGGAGTCTGTAACCTGAAGTATGTAACCTGAAGCGTATGTAACCCGAGGTACCACTGTAGTCCCATTCCGCCTTTCATGGCTTCTAATTTCTGCTGCTCTGAACCCCACAATCACTCCATATTTCTGTGTTTTGAACCTCATAATTGCCCCCATCTTTCTGTGTTCTGTACCACTAGGACTGAGCCTAGCTCACAATATCCAGTTCCTTTGCTTTTCCACGTATGAGTTTATCCACTACTGCCATGGTCAGTTCCCCCTGTTCCTGTGCCTTGCAGTCCGTTCCCCTCCTCCTCCCTCCTCTTCCCACTTCAGTGTACAGCAGCATTCAGAAACAACCACCAGGTGGCATCTTAGAGCAGCACTTGGGAAGGTGTAGGCAGCACTTTAGTTACAGGTGTACTACGTTACACCTGTACCACGTTATCTCCCCCCCCCCCAGATTTATTCTGCCCAGGAACTAAAATGCTTCATTGGCTCAAAATGTAGGAGCACTGGGGCTGTGAACTGATTACAGAATTTTAATTGGTTAATTACCTGCTTTTCATTTTTAGTTAATTGACTGCTGGCTGTCAAAACCTCAATATAGATACCTTTTTTAGATACTGAAGGAAGTGCGAGATAAATTACAATTTAATACACGAGAGCTGCCTCCGCTTGCTAGAAGAAAGATCGTCTTTAAGCAAGAGCATCTCCTGGGTTGTAGAACTCCCTTACAAATGAATGACAAATGGCCCTGACAGTACAAGCCTTCAAAGAGGCCTTTAAAAGGTATATATTTGGGTTGCCTTTTCCTTGGTGCCTCTATTTCATCAAGCTGCTGAACTATTTTTAACTGGACTGCACTCAGTTTTATGGAGTGCTTTTGCCTCTGTTTTTTAAACTGCTGTTATATACGTTGGGGGGGGCATTGAGGGGCTACAAAAATCATTTGGGCATCACATTGGGGTACCACAGCACAGGGATGGGGGCATCTGTGTCTCGTGCAGAAGGCCCTGGGTTCTATTTCAGGAAGCACTGGGAGTGTTGGCTGCCTGACATTCTTGAGAGTCGCTACCAGTCAGTATAAGAAATTCTAAACTAAATGGATCAATAGTCAATATAAGGGAGCTTTCCATTTTCCTATGTACATATGGGAACATTTTTGTGTGGGGGGGTGATATTAAAACGTTCATTTTTATTTAAAATGGGCAGATCTTGGGTCTTGGATGGTCACACAATATTTTGGCGTCCCTGTGTCACAACAAGAAGCAGTCAGCAAAATAATAGTAATAATAATAACAGTACCACAGCAGACAACCTAAGGGATCAGTTGATTAAAAAATCTACATTATTATTATTATTTAAAAGCACTAAAAATAATAATTTGACAACACAGCTGGAGACCTATAGGAGCAGTCCAGAAAATATTTTTTTTTTTAAGTGACACATTTGAGGGAGTGATTGGGGAGCACAACAAACCAATTGGAGGGCCATACACAGGCATAAGTTGTTGTTAGCTACCCCAGTTCAAAGAGATGCTACCTTCCTTTACTAGCTTTGTAACATTCTGCTCTCCAGAGTGCATAGCATGCCTTACAATGAGCATCTCAAAGATGTCTGTGGCTGAAGGGGCTGGAAAACAATATGGGAAGAAGAGGCCTGTGTTGTGAGACTGTTCTACACGCTGGAAAATCAACAATATTACCCCCCCAAAAAAAAAACCACACCAACACCTTCATGTATTTTTCCTTTAAGTATCCTATATGCAACCGCGGTAATCTCCTGATTCAAGGAACAGCTTCAGTCACGTTACCTTTTTAAAAGAGCAGTGTATTTATAGTGATCGCACTGCCCTAGATACCTAAAGGTTCATCCATTTCCTTTTATAGGAAGTGTGTGCTAATTAATGGGAAGGAAAACTCAAATATCCCTGGGAAGAATGAGGCCACCCAAGTATGCTATGGTACTAAAACGCAGTAGGCTACTAACTATCGCAAACTAGTCTGACGAGTTAATCTCCGTCGGAAAAACAAAGTAGCCAGTGCCGCCTACACATCAGGGCAGGACTCAACATAACCTAGACCCACTGGTAACCTCAGTAGGTGAATCAGTCTTCATGTGATCTGCTTATTATAATCTCTGAAGAGATACTTAGGAGTAACTGCGTTCGCGGCCTCCCCGAGCTCTTTGAATGCCTTTTGCATTTACCACAGGCAGTTCAGAGGCAACTCTGCTATTAAGGCTTTCTAATCTAGGTTGCCACTTAGCTAGTTTCTGACTACTGAAGTAATTGGCTTCCTTCACTTCTATACTTTTTAATGTATCACTACAGGCAGTGCTATTTTTCTAGAAAAAGAGGTGCCATGAACCATGAACCTCTATTTTTCTAGAAAAAGAGGTGCCTTTGTTCTCTTAGAGTGGCCATGGTGCCCACCTAAGAGGTTCCGGAACTGAGTTCCAGGTGAAAAAAAGCCCTGACTACAGGGAATATTTTAATTTAAACATTTCAAATGTTCTCTGACTAGATCAAGATTTTCAAGGTTCTGGGCAAACAGTGCCCTCCTCCTTTATTTGTCTGCAGGTCCTCACCTCCATTGGTATCCCTATTTTAATTTCCCACAAATCCCCTGAGGTAGCATCACTCCAGGGCATTCTGGGAAATCAAAATGGCTGTGAGATGAGCTGTTGGGCATTGCTTGAAGCACCAGGCACCAGTGATGGGCCCTGCCAGCCCTGGAGTTCTAGGGCCCCAGCAGGATGCCAGATGCTGATGCCAGTCTTGACCCTTCGAGTAAAGGTGACAATCCTGTGCCTGGCCACACTGTCTCATTTTTGGCTATGATTCACCCAGGCAAACAGTAATTGGACCTTGTGAACCACTGCTTCCCTGTATAGCCATTTGTTTTCCTCTGAAAGAAATAAAATATTCCATACCTGTCAAGTGCCCTGGAAAAAATGGGGCATCCCATTTTTTTCATGCAAGATCTCAGTGGCCATTTTGGGGGCCGTGATCTCACATGCTTTTGTGTGGTGCTCTAGCCCCCAAAAAGCACTTTGAACGCATCCCGGAAGGCATGCATTCTGGATTCAGATCCAAAAAGGTTGCATGATATGATATTCTCCCATTCCATTTCTGTTGACAACCATCTTGGATGGAAATTTTATGTTTTGTTAAATATCTGAACGTGATGGCCTTATCTTGGCCTGGCCATTACCTTGCCCCTCATTCCTTCAGAGCTGCTTTCATACTAATTTTGAATACATTTACCACAGATTCCTTGCTTTTTAATATTAATTTTCAGCTTTGGCCAATGAGAGGGGAAGAACCTGACTCTTTACATCCTGGCTTAAGTCAGTGTCACAGAAATGTTTCAAGGTTTCCTCCAGCTTTTTAAAGTCACATAAATGCAACAGATGTGTACAGGTGCACACAAGCCCATAGCAATGTCCATGTGAGGGGCAGCGCACTTGTAAGTTATATGCACAGACCCTGGCCCTGAGGCTGACACAAAGACCTAAGGCCTCTGTTTTGAATGGTCTGGCAGGCTAAAGGCTGGTGTGGCTTTGTTGAAACACTTTTCAAAACCTCTTTCTAATAAATACTTCACAACGAATGCAGAAGGGATCCAGTTGAGTCATGGTGGCTGCCTGAATGATCCTGTGCTTTGTTAGCTGCCCATGGAGGAAATAAATTGTCTGCGATTGTTTGGCTTTGGCTGCTGGAATGGGAGTGTGCTGCCAATTAGTTCATAAGCCCTAATTGGGGTAGGAATTTCTCTTGCATGCCAACACAGGCACAAAACCTGTCCTCACCTCCATTCCCCGCCCCAACCCGCAGCCCCACGACCAAGGAAGCTTCCTTCCCCAATTGTTAGGCAGCTAAGCCTACCAGCTGCTCTGTCGTTTTCAAGGGGTCTCAGGAACCAATATGGCTGCTCATTCTTGCTCTCCCATAATGCCTCAAGCACCAAGCCTAGGCCCACTTGACAGCTTCACTGAACTCTCTCACTGCTGACTTCCTTGGACCTATTTTGGACAAGGGTTTTGCATGCAGATTCCCAGCATTTCCAGGGAAAACCCCTGGTCTGAAATTCTTATCAGCTGCTGTCAGTCAACGCAAACAATACTGAGCAGGATGAAGAACTTTCCTAGTAGACAAAGGAATACTGGGCTAGACAGGCCAATGATCTGAATTGGCATAAGGCAGTTCCTTACGTTCCTATCTCTGCTATGATATTCCCCTCCATATTGCTGAATAGGGATGGTGATAAATAGGCACAGCCTGGCAAGGACTCAATGACTTTTCTGTTTATAGAATTGGCTGTTGGGCAAATGCACAGACATTATCCCTTCTAAGGGTTTCTTTTCATTTAGCTCACCTTGGCATGCAGTATAAACATACAGATGCAAATAAAAGCCCACTTGGCCTCTTCATTTCTCAAAGTGTCACACGGCAAAGAATAGCTGGAGATATTTGACTATTGTTATTTCTGTAAGTTGGCCCAAATTTGCTTACATGCTCTCATGAAGCTGACACACCGGGATGAAAGAGGCATATGGAAATGGGAGTGGTTGGAGTCAAGGAAAAGTGGGAATGAAACGGGGGAGGAGGGGTTCAGGGCTAGCCAACCCATTAGGCCCACTGAGACAGTTGCCTCAGGTGACAGGGTGGGGACAGCTGTGAGGAGCAGCAGATCTGGAAAAAGAGGAGTGTTCTTACATGCATTGGCTGCCTTTGCCATTCTCCTTTCATCTGTGGATAGGAGCTGCCGTTACCATCCCAGTCACCCCCTGAGAAGGAAAGCCCTCTGCCACTCAGAAACAGCTGCCCACCCACTGAGACTCAACTCCTCCTCCTCCTCGGCTCTGAAGGCTCCTGAGGAGCATGCCTTTCTGCCCCAACCTGCTCCTTTCTGGCCATTTTTCTCCTCCTTTGCCTTCAGCACACTGGGGCCTCCCTGGGTTATCTCCAGTCACCTCAGGTGGTGGTGGTAGAGGAGAAGGTCAGGGCACCATTTTGCTTCATGAAACAAAATGTCTTGGGCCAGGTTTGAGGGTGTGTGTACCCATCTGAAGCTGGGAACAGGTGACCTATGAAGCCTACAGCCAAGATCTGTAGAGTTAAATCAGAAAAACCAACACAGTGGTCTTTGGACCTCCAGCGTTTTCATTCCTGTCCTTTCTTTCTGATATCCCTCTCCCCCCCCCCCCCGGTTTACTTCACCCATCACACTTCAGCTTAGGGTCCTGCCTCTTTCATACACCTTTTTCTTTTCAGCCAGAGTGGGGGCTGACTTCCCTGCCATTTTCCTGAGGAAAATTACTCTTCTCACACCTGTTATTTGCCCCACAAGGAAAAAGATAGGCAAAAGTGCAGAGATTTTCCAGAGAATGCATATCGGTTTTATATTGTTCCTCTTATTACTTATGGAATGGTAGCTCAATCACCCATTATTTCAGCAAAGTTCAGCCAATGAACAGCACTTTACATTTTTTCATGAAACTTACATCTCATCTTTCCTTCATCAAGGTGCTCAGGGTAGCATACACATAGAATTATCCCACCAGTCCTATGAGGTAGGCTAGCTTAAGGGACAGAACACCAGGTTTACTTTAGGCCTGTGCAAGCATTTGAGCCCAAAACTTTCCAGTCCTACGTTCTATGCAACATTGTTCTTGTTGAATTCTTACCACTGATGCAATAAGTGTAAGCACGATAATTCTGCTCTGACTTTCTTTACTTCTGTATAGTTTCTCTTGAAGGTCTGTGTTTGCACAGTTGATGAAAAACTAGTTGGGCTTTTTTTTCTTTTGTAAAACAGCAACAATATTCTGCTTATTTATGGATGTGTATTCAATTTCACATGCAGGTTTAAGGAGGAAGTGTATACAAATGTGTAGACCTCTTTTGCATGAAGCAGAAAGGCTTCCTGCTTTAAAATGACAGCCCTTGCTGAGTTAGCTTCATCTGCTTTGTTTTTAAAATTGAGCAAAACAGCTGAAATCTGAGTCCCTTTGCACACCACTCCTTGCAACCAAGATTGGTTTAGCTGCCATTTGCTTCCTTCTGTTTTGTACAACTGCTTATGAAAGTATTGTTGTAACCCAGGGGATCACAAATTATTTGTGCCCAGGGGCACATTCAGAAAGTTAAGAAATCACCATGGGCACACAAAATACCCATTTCACAGGATGGGGGGGGACTGGCAACTTTCAGACCCCAACAGGCAAAAAAACCACCCTGCACCCTCCAAAAACTCATAAAATACAAACCAAAAAGCAGGCACCCCTTCAAAACCAAATAACAAAAAGTTTTTAAAACCTCATTTAAAATAAAATAATTGGGAGGGGAGTGGGCTTTGGTGTGTATCCAAGAGGTATGTCTGTTTATGATTATCCCAGCTGTAACCCAACCATTTCATTTTACTTTATTAAAAAGAAGCATTGTGAAGTGTTGCTTAGGTCTGATTTCCAGAGATGCTACCATGTCTTACTATAAGATACCTTACGGTCTAGTATAGCTTGACAACCATATGTCAGGATGCTCTGATGGTGTTTCCTGCTTGGCAGGGGGTTGGACTCGATGGCCCTTGTGGTCTATTCAAACTCTATGATTCTATGATTCTAGCTGAAACATGGTCTTAGAATTTTTAAAATTGTGGTTTTTGTGCGTATTAACAGCACAACTGAGTGTGACACCTGTGCTTTTCAGCATGAAGACAAATATGGTGTTAAAATGAAGCTCACAGCTAATCTTCAGCTGCAGAAGGAGCCCAGCTCTCCTTCTTATAAGCACCTCACACTTTTCCTGTGGTGATGTCAAGAAATTAACTGCATAGAAAATTGACCCTCCAATTGCTTATACCAAAATTTAACAAGTACAGCTTTTGCTAGGGTTCATCTCCATGGGGTGGGGGGTTTGTAAGTGATCCAAGTCACAGACTTGGGGGAGCTTTCCTGATCTGAGATTACCATACTACAATTAAAGTATCCCAAATAGATCTTATTTCAACTTAATAGGAGCCCCTCAAGGAAGCCTCTCTAAGCTACCAATTCCATTTGCAGGCTGCTCTTATAGTAGGAAACCCTTCTTTATGTTCATTCTAATGTACATCCCTGCAGTTCAAAGTCATTCCCTCTCCCTATCCTCGGGTAATGAGGTTTATTTCTTCATTCTCATCTCATGTAATGTGTTCAGTTCTGGGCACCATACTTTAGCATGTAGACAAAGAGGAAGGGGGGAAAGGCAGTCAGTGAAATGGAAAACAAGATTGGAAGGAAGTGGGAAAGTGGGCAAATTCAACCTGGAAAAGAGAAGGCAGAGCAATTGAGGAGGCAACTGTCACAGAGAATAGGGGGTAAATTCATTCCCCAACCAACCAACCAACCAACCAACCAAGAAGTTGCTAAAATTAAAACAAATCTGGCTGTTGAGAACTATTACTGGTACACACACACATATTTGTTGTTGAATATATTTTGCTATGGTGACCTGCGACGAGTATTTTATCTATTATGCAGCTGGTTGTAGTATGTTCGTAGCATGTAAATGTAGAGTATGCTACTGTGAAACTCTGAAATGGTAGAGATGGTCAACAAACATGAGCGAATGTTGTCAGTTCCTTTCCCACATGTATCTGTTCAATGTCCAAAGTGATATTAAGTAAATACTGACAATAATGACCATTAAGTGACAGGCCACATTCACTGGTTTATCTCTGCATTTCTAGGAATTCATCAGATGTCTGCTGCGTTGTCAGCATTCTGTGCTGATGGTTGACAACCTCCATCATTTTGGACATTCACTGAAATATGTGCACAAGATGACCAAATATCTAATCACCTTCAGTGCCAACGGAAATGCTCTTAAATCTATAGTAGCCTGTACATTTAAAACATTCAGTTGTCTTACCTGCTGACAATCCTTTGGGGTGGACATGATTCAGTACTTGCAATGCTGAAGCTGCTTCAGGTAGTTAAGGCATTATTGCTTTCCCCCTTTTCTTGTGGAGGCAGCTGTTTCTGTTTTAACCAAAGCAGCCTTCCAAGTGACCCTACCCATTAAAAAAAAATATTTTTTTATTAAACGACAGCCACCTAACACCAACATAAGCACCTGCTGGAAAAGGAAACCAAGCACTGCTTCCAGGGTATGGGTAGGAGGAACCCAGTCAAATAAATGTATATCCAAATAATAGGCAAATATTTCTGTTGCAGTGTCTAAAGCAGTTATGGGGCATATGACCATCAAAACCTGGCCACACACACACACACACACACACACACACACACACACACACCATACAAACCTGAAAACACTTCACACAACTTCAAAGCAATTTCACAGAGAAGATAAGAACATCTGGGCCTCTTGTGCCCTGACCCAGCAAATATAGTTCTCTCTGAATAATTATGTTATGTTATGTTATGTTATGTTGTTATGTTATGTTATGTTATGTTATGTTATGTTATGTTATGTTATGTTATGTTATGTTATGTTATGTTATGTTATAAAAATAGTTGGACTATTACCTTTCTGGAGAGGGAACATTTACCATGATCAGCCCTAGTGGATAGGCAAAATGCAGTATTTTGCTTACTTTTTCTTTCAGAAGCCATAACTCTGCCATATCTCCTGAAGCAACCTTGAATCCATGCAGACATTCTGAGGTGAGTTCTCCCACCACAGAATAACTTGGTTAGATGTATCATTTTGATGAGGAAACTTTTTTATATAGCACATCTCACAGAGAAGGCAAAAGTGGTTATCTGTACCCATTTTCAGTTGTATAATATTGATGCTGTGTTGTCTGGATACAGGCATAAGCCTTCGTGGGGAGCCAATGTTTTGCCATTGACTTTAGTAGAAAGCAGACCATTCTCACTAGATTAAGATCTGTATCATAAGTGTAATACACATTTCAGCTGTCATATTTCTAAATATTGCAATTGCCCTTACTTAGACCATCTATGACTGTTTTCTGTTTTGTTTTCTGTTTTAACAATCTTGTGTATTTTATATTCTGTCACTTTTTATTTGTGGCTAAAGGTAAAGGTACCCCCTGACCGTTAGGTCCAGTCGCGGACAACTCTGGGGTTGCGCGCTCATCTCGCTCTATAGGCTGAGGGAGCCGGTGTTTGTCCGCAGACAGCTTCCAGGTCATCTGGCCAGCATGACTAAGCTGCTTCTGGCTAACCAGAGCAGTGCACGGAAACACCGTTTACCTTCCCTCCAGAGCAGTACCTATTTATCTACTTGCACTTTGACGTGCTTTTGAACTGCTAGGTGGGCAGGAGCTGGGACCGAGCAACGGGAGCTCACCCCGTTGCGGGGATTCGAACCGCCGACCTTCTTAGTGGCAAGCCCTAGGCTCTGTGGTTTAGACCACAGTACCACCCGTGTCTCCGTGATTTGTAGCTAGTGGACCCTTAATAACATTATCTTCCCTGAGGGAATTGCTCTGCACTGCAGACTACATTGGGTGTCAGACTGTGGGGTAACACTACAGAGGCAGGAAATTCTCAACCATTTAGTTTATTATTGCAGAACCTGTGAAAGAAAATGTAAGTGATATTTGTTTGCTTTGTTTTTTGAGGAGAGTGATGCAGCAATTCTGATTATGTCATCTTGGGAGTTCCCTAATGAAAGAAGGGTGAGCTAAGAATTGCAGTCACAGCGGATTACTACATAAATTAGTTGATTCACTCTGTCAAGTGTGCTCCCCCCTCAAAGTTTATCTGCCTTAACCCACTGGAATTTGCTATTACACGTTTCACAACATATGAATTTGTGTCTTAAGAAACTTTTATCTGATGTGGAAAGTAAACCAGGTCTGATTTTGAGTCAATATCCTTTCCTTCCTTCCTGTTCCTGCTCTACAATGCTTGCTCCATATGTAAACAAGTAGTGTTTATAATAGTTTCTGGAAATGCCCTTCTTCTCCAATATCCAAAGAGTCTAAGATCATCATTTCTCCCTGCAATGGAGTTGAGCTTACCTCCTTGTTCTCTGCCCCTACAATTGGGAAAGGAGCTAAGGGAAAGGAGCTAAGGCCATTCAGGGGAGGGGAAACTTGACACATGGTTGCCATTATTTATTTATTATTAAAGGTATTTATGCACCACTTAATCATTAACGTTTCTAAGCAGTGCACATACAATTACAAAAAATAAATAAATAAACCACATGAAGAGTAAGAGTAGTAGGAAATGCACGATGAAGCCAAACACTGCCTTAAGATGCCTGCTGAAATAAGGACGTATTTTTAATGTGCCTGAAACTCTGCAAGGAGGGGGCTGTCTAATCTCAGTTAGGGAGAGTTCCACAGGCTTAGACCTGCTACACTGAATATATGGCTAGTAGTAATTGCAAATTTTGAATGCAGAGTAGCAGCCTGTGGTTATTTTGTTTTTTTGAATAGGGAATCCTATTTGTTGTTGTTGTTTATGAAACACTTCCCATAACCCGGTGAAGTGATTTACAGTAGAATAAAAGCATATGCATAGCAACGGCCTTTTTAAAAACAGCTAAAACGTTTGTATATATGACAATTAAAAATAACAACAAATATAACACAGATAATGTGAAACTAAAAAGGAAAAATATTTCTATGATCTGAAGAGAAACCAGAGAATAGATAATATAAATCTAATACATATAGCAACTGGGGTAAAATTCTGCAGTCAGGTCCACCAAGAGGCTATTTTTTTATGGGGGCAGGGGAGAATTGCATGTGTTCTAATGTCCTCTTATTATAAGTTGTTGCATATGTGTGAAGGACTTGTTTGCTCATAGCTGTAATATGAAACACCTTTCAAGTAATATGCAGGAAAATAAGATGCTATCTTTTATTGCCAAATCATCAGTGTTCTCACCACATCTGAAAGTATTCTGAATCAGGATACCTTGGTGTATTTGTATTATATTTTCATGGGAGAAATAAATGTTTAATGTTTTTCTGAAATCCTACCAGGAAGCCTTTGGGAAGAGGTGAAACTAGGCTTTATTCCACTCGGATCCAAGAGCCAGTTTGGCATCCCATCCCATGTGCTTTTGCATACATACACACACACACACAAACACACAAACACACACACACACACACACACACACACACACACACACACACACAGTGAAGCTACTTTTCTGTCATGTCTCAGCCAGGAGAGCCCTTATCAGAGGGTGGACATGAGACCCTGGCCTTATACCGAGTCCTAGGTCAGCCTCCATCTGGGATACTGCAACAAGGCCAGGGAAAGGGCCATCTGCACCCAAGGTGAGTTCCGCCTCAAACTTTGGGGCTGAATTGGGTCCCAAACCCAAGGCAAATGCAGTACTATTGTAAAGACTAGATGGAAACCTGGCCCACCTGGAGATTGCAGGAAAGGATTTCTCTGGAGTAAAGTAAAGTACATCCCCTCAGAAGTAATACACTCCTCCAAAGGAGACCTCTGGTATAAAGGGGGGTTGATAGGAGTCAGCTGAGGTTCGGGTTTGTTACAGTAGCTTCAGTTACTGTCTGACTCTTGTGAACTCTTCTAGCTTGGATCCTGACCTTGAACTGCTCTGATGTTGCCTCCTGCCTTTTGCAAGCTCAGCTTGCTTGGACTCTGGCCCTGGATGCTGCTCTGTCTGCTTGCCCCATGGGTATTGTTGCTGGTATGTCCCCTGTTTACTTAAGAGCCTAGTGTGAGCAGGACACCTTCTTTTATTTACAGGGTGATGGGTGATTAGACAGTAGTTCTGCCTCCAGAACCTGCCGCCTCATCCTGTGATGCCATCTGTGTTCCCCTCCCTCCTCCAAACTCCAAGCTCTCATCACCTTCTAATGATGTTCCGTGCTCACTCCTTCCTGCACCATGTAATCAATATGTCTCTAGGTCAATATGTGCATAGGTCACAGGTGGAGCCAACTCCAATCATCCTACTCCTCTTTGTCTATAGGGCTGATGAGTTAAAGGCAAACAACCCCTGGAGGGCCACAGGTTCATCACTACTTCCCTGGGAATGGCTACAATACGAGTCCACCTGTACTACTTTACTGCTCCTCTGTGTCAGATAACTGTGGAACGAGTGTACTTTTTTATCTCCTGCCTGAAATTCATCAACATCGTAAGACAGAATTTGCGCTTTCCAGAATTAATAATTACTTTCAAAGATGTTTTTGAGGAATATCTAAGTGAAAGAGTTGTACGATTGCTGTCATGAGAAAATCTTGTAAAAAATATTCTACAGACATTGCTAACCATGAAACAAGGGGTTTTGATGCAAAGCCCACTATACTCTGTAGAATGGCTTATACTCTTCCTTCAGCCACTAGAGGGATCTCCAAGAATACGGTTTACTGCTGTATCTGAAAGGCAGCTTCCGAATGTCATCAACATTTGCTTTATCTAGGAGCTGCTACATCAATAAGCGGGCTGTGTGGGGCTCCATTTCCCCTGCTTCTCTACTTAAGTGTTCTCAGAAAGTCATGAAACGTATTTTTGCTATAGAAAAGGTACCAGCATAGGTCTTCATGACTAGACTCTTTCATATGGAGAACCTGCAGAAGTCAAATATTTTTGCAAGTTAGATAGTAGGTGTCTTTTGAGAGCTGCAGGACCTACTAGGTTTTGATTATTGTTTGTGGGTGCCAGACACCTACATAACCCCTAGATCTAACTCATGTAAAAATATAAACCAGGCTAGCTTCCTGTATTCAGGTAATCGCCTGGGTGATGGGCCATTAAGAGAACCAAAGAAAAGGGTCTCTGTGCCAGACTGAAAATGGAAGGAGCCCTTCCTTCAGCTCTTCATGAGAAGGAAAAAAGCCAGAGTTTTAGAGTTGAGAGTTGGCAGTAATGTGACCTAGAAGTAAAGCTGCAAGCTGGAAAATCAGAGAGGCAGAGCACAATGTTTGATTTCTGCTTGAATTCAAGGCATTGGCTATGGGAGAAACAAGACCCTTTGGGGTGTTAATGCTGTGAACCCCTCCACTGTAGGCTCAGGTTGTATATATGTGCAAATAAGCCATATATCCTAGAGACACCACAGTTTCTGCTGTGCCTCTTTCCCAAGAGAAAACATGAAACCTGGGTAAAGCACATGGATCCCCGGGGATCTCACACTGCTCGGAGATTGGGGTGGCATGCAACACTATATTACTGTGTTATGGAGAAGAGTTCCCAGACAAAGGCATTATAAGATAGTAAGAGGCTTCGCTCCTTCATGGGAGATTTTACTTTCTTGGGTTCCATGATCACTGCAGATGGTGACAGCAGTCACAATATTAAAAGACACCTGCTGGACCATAAAGAAGGCTGATCACCGAAGAATTGATGCTTTTGAATTCTGGTGCTGGAGGAGACTCTTGAGAGTCCCATGGACTGCAAGAAGAACAAACCTATCCATTCTTACAGAAATCAGCCCTGAGTGCTCACTGGAAGGACAGATCCTGAAGCTAAGACTCCAATAATTTGGCCACCTCATGAGAAGAGAAGACTCCCTGGAAAAGACCCTGATGTTGGGAAAGATGGAGGGCACAAGGAGAAGGGGACGACAGAGGATGAGATGGTTGGACAGTGTTCTCGAAGCTACCAACATGAGTTTGACCAAGCTGCGGGAGGCAGTGGAAGACAGAAGTGCCTGGTGTGCTCTGGTCCATGGGGTCATGGGTAGTCGGACACGACTAAACAACAAAAAAAGAGGCTTCTGCTATAGTGTCAGTGGAAAGATTTTGATTCTACACCAGTTTCACTGTGGGATGCCCATATTGCTAGATGAAGTGCTTCTCTGGAAAATTCTACAGAAAAACCAATTCTGTGTCATGTTTTGATTAGGGTAACCCAAATTTATAGCTTGGTAAATTTAGCCACTTCACAGCAAAGTTCTGCTATACCTTTGGTTTTTTTCCTTTGCCACTACTGTTTGCATTGGGAGGTTCATGTGACACGATTTCTAGTTTAGCTTCCTACAATCATTTGGCATTCCTTTTGTCCAGACGTTTATTGATGTTTACCAACTTTTCTCTCTCTCACGGCTTCTCTCGTTACAAATCGACTTATGGCATTAGCATTCTTCATTGTGACTTGCAACAAAGAAGCTTAGTGTATGTGTTTTCAGGAAGTGATAGTGTTCTCTTGGTGTACAATAGCAATGAAGAAATAAAAATTCCTGCAGTGCAGCCTCCAGCGTACACTATATATTAGCAATCACCTGAATTACCTACACTACAGACATAAGATGTCACATACAATTTGTTTCCCGGTGCCTGATCTGGTTTCGGCTGCCTGATCTACTTTCAGTCGTAGGAATCCTCAGAACAATGGCCTTCTGCTTGTGTGGAGGAAGGAATTAAACGTTGTGCTATTTATGTCATGCAGGAGAAATCAATAAGCAAGTGCAAGGTTGTATTTCCCCCTGCCCCACCCACCAGGGCAACCACTAGAGACTCGGTCCTGGGGCCAGGTCTGTATCCAAATCAGACTGGATCAAAATCATCTGTCTTCCTGAAATGTCTTCTGCTACCCTACCACAGCTCTCTCCATGATGCCACCTGGCATAAGGTATAATGCATTTCCCTCCGAATCCATTAAATTCTATTCCTGCCCCACCTTACAACCATAGTCTATGAATGCTTAGGCTATAAAAAGACACTCTGGGGTTTTTGTTTGTTTGTTTCAGAAGGGTGTTGACTGGCAAACAATATACCTCTGGACAGCTTTGCCTCCATTCTTTGACATACCACAATGTTAAAAGTGGATTATTAGGGATGACCAAAATTCAAAGCCATACACCCCTACCTGTGATCCACAGAAATCAAAAGGATTTGGGTTTCACTTCAACACATATAGAATATTTCTAGTTTGGCTCACTTAAAATTAAGGTGTAGTCCTAAGAACAGTTAATCCGGAGTAACTTCCACTGGAATTACTTCAGAATAAATGTCATTATTAGTATTGTCAATAATCCCAAAGCACATTTTTTCTGGAGATCTGGTAACTTCTCAAGTGGCCTTTTCTGAAATACCTTTGCATGGGAGCCAATACCAATTACTGCATAACTAAGTAAACATACTGTGGTGGAGGAGGAAACTCAGCAACACAAAAACTATTTGTTAAGAAAGGCTCCAGGCACAAGTTTGGCTCTCTTTCTCTTATCTTCAAAGCCTTTTGTCTTGCCTCCCCCAAGTCAGACTTGCTCTGTAAACCTTGAGTACATAACCATTATGTTTTCTTTATTTCTTCAGAAGCTTAAAACATTTGAAAACCTGTTCGTTTAGAACTCATACATTAGGAATGCTTTCCTTTAAAAAGGTGTGATACTCAAAGGAAGCAACAGTCCATAAAGTCTATAGAGAAAATTTTGATTGGAAAAAAATGTATTCGGTTGTGCCACTCTGGTGAAGGAAGGCATTTTTGATCTGACAGTTCCTTCCATCAGTTGAATAGGGAGGGAGTGGTTTTCACCAAATCCCCCTCTCCTTTACATCTGCCAAAACCCCTCACTGAAAAATCTGCCCCAGTTTGTAGAACCCTGTGGAACAGGTGGGAGGTAAGGTGTTGTATTTTATATTTAACTTGGCTTTAATTTAATTTAATTTGGCTTTACTTTAATACTGATTTTAGTTGTCTCATGAGCCACCTTCAACATTGATGTAACTGAAAGGCGGGATTATAAATGTTCTAAAAAACAAAAATGGACATTAGCCACCATCTACACTAGCAACATTAGATATACTAAACTACTAGACACAGGTGGCACTGTGGTCTAAACCACTGAACCTCTTGGGCTTGCTGACCAGAAGGTCAGCGGTTCAAATCCCCAAGACGGGGTGAGCTCCCGTTGCTCTGGCCCAACTCCTGCCAACCTAGCAGTTTGAAAGCACACCAATGCAAGTAGATAAATAGGGAAGGTACCTTCTGTGGCGGGAAGGTAAACGGCATTTCTGTGCGCTCTGGTTTCCGTCACGATGTTCCGTTGCACTAGAAGCGGTTTAGTCATGCTGGCCACATGACCCGGAAAGCTGTCTGTGGACAAACGCTGGCTCCCTCAGCCTGAAAGCAAGATGAGCACTACAACCCCACAGTTGCCTTTGACTGGACTTAACCATTCAGAAGTCCTTTACCCTTTTTTTACCTACTAAACTACTAGTAATTCAATGTGTGTAAGCCAATGTTTCCTGGAAAGAAGCACGGGTGCACCCTACCTTGGCCACCTTGCAATACTAAGGTGAGTTCAACCCCACACACCCACTAAAATTATAAAGAAATGCTCAAGGGCCCTTTGAATGAAGCAGAAGAAAATGGAAGTCTCTCTTGTAAAGGAAGATTATTATTTTTTTAGAAACTGGAGGACAGATTTCACCACAACCCATTGCCAGCTTCATCACAGGTGAAAGATGGAAAGTTGGGGCAATAATAGTCTTCTTTAAGCATTTTGAATGTATATCCATGGTCAGGGCATGGGGCCACTGAGTGTCTCCATTTCCTCTGCCACCCAGTGGTTTCCACTCAAAGGATTCTTGGCCAAACATGCTTACAGCCCTCTCTGCAACAGAGAATCCTACACAGTCATGGTTTCTGATCATGAGAAGAACTGTAAGCACATTCCACTGAATCCCTTGACAAGTCTCCTTCAGATTTCCCCACACAATGCAAGAAGTCAGGTGTGGAGGGGGCAGCTCGCTTGGTCCCTCACCTCCATATATTCAGAGCACATGGATAGGAGGGCTGGCACAATACAGTATTACGCAGGTGACTGCATTTTGTCTTTCCTGAGCCGCCCTGCATGGCCCTCTGCTGCTACTTGATTATATGTTTCCCATTTTTCCCAAACATGTCCCTGGATGTTCCAAGGCTGGGCCCCTTCTTTTGACATCTACCTCAATTAAAGTTCACGGGGCAGTGTCTTCACTTGTCAAAGTGATGAATGGCTGCCTTGCATTTTTCTCACCATTGCACCTTAACCATGTTTTGGTTTGTTTTCACTTTAGATCAGTTCTTACCCACTCTGCGTTACAAAGAGTAATCCTAAAGTGGGTTAAATTCACAATGAAAAAACACAATTCATAAGAAAACAGCAGAATGATAAAATAATAGAGGGCCATTTTGCTCTTCTTTCTTCACTCCACCCTAACTGGCATTTGGACTGCCTGTTCCTGATCCCTTCACCTCCCATGGGTGAAACTTATTACCTTGGCATGCTGTCAGGGCACTAGTCTTGGACAATTTCTTTCTGCCAAACTG